TTATTGCCATTCCAACATAGCACGGATCAGTTGCGGGTCTTCCTGGATATTGCAGAGAGCGTGAACCTTCTTAATGTCGAGTTGCCAAGCTGTATGGTGAGGGTGAGGGCTTAATCTGGTGCGCAACATGGAGTTTTTGACTACTTCTGGTCTCGCTGCCTTCGTCAATGCAGAATCAGTCATAAGTATGCTGTTCGAGTTTCCCATGAACTCTGCGGTTATTTAGGGTCTGCTTGAGCTGGTTTATTTTAATTTTTCAATTATGATTTACGAAATACAAAATAAATATGAGAGAAGTTTTGTCTCAACTTATATGAAACTTGTTTATATGTATTTACAAATGTGATTCCAAATAGGCTCTTAGGAAATGTTTGGCAACCTTAAAAGTGTTTCTTAGGAGCATTTTTTCATAAAACGAGGCAAATTCTTTTATATATTTACTTTGTAAACCGTAAAAATACTTTTGAAACCATGATTTCATTTCTATTCAAACGCTCCTTTGATTACTTTGGACATAAGTGGTTTCATTTAATCTACTTATGCAGGTTTGAGAGAAAAGTGGGTACAGCGTGGTGGATATTGCAAAGGGTTTAGGTGTAATTTTGATCTTGATTTTATTTTTTTAGATGTAATTTTGCTCCTCATTTTTTTAGTAGTGCAATTTTGATCTTGATTTTGTTTTTTGGGTGTAATTTTGGTCTTGAGAGGTAAAATTGCACCTATAGATGAGGGAAAAAATTTCACCCTAAAAAAAGATAAGAAATAAAATTGCATTTGAAAAATAAGATCATGGATAAAATTACACTACTAAAAGACCAGCTTAAAAATAAAATCGGGGCTAAAATCGTATCTTAGTACTGTTGCAAAAGCTGGATGATATTACAAAAGTAGGTGCTGGGCGAAAACTGCTGGTTTTATACGCCAATCAATCATGGGTGCAGATTGAGCCAGTCCCATGTGATCGCAGCGAAATTCAAACTAGTTGATAGTCATTCAGTTGTTGCGTAGATTTCTTGTTGACATGAATTATACGGCTTGAAATTTTTGAAGGGAATTGAAAGACGCGCAACGGAAGATAAATTTAAAATTTTCAATCCCTTGCCCGGATCTACCGATTGTGTTTAAGTCAAGTAGTAAGAAGTATTACCTTCGATGTTCGATTTCTTGGTGGCTCGGGGATTTCGCCGTTCAGGATGCCTCTGCTCGCCTCCTTTATCGTTCGAAGTCGACAACTCAGATCGACTTCCTCTACCGGTATCCACACGAACAGCGTTCCAATCACGAACGACGTGCTAGCGCCTCTTGTCCTTCTAGGGTTTATTTTCGAAGAATCCGTCCTCCCTTCTCTAGTTTTAGCCGTCTCTTATCTACAAGTGTTTTCACTCTCACACACAAAACCCTAGCTCCTAATATCAAATATATAGGATGCTATAGGTATTATGAAGGATATTTAATTCCGAAATTAATCCTAAATTAATTCTGAAATTAATACAATATCAAATATTGCCTGATCAGATAAGAAACAATTAAATAAATATGGTTTATATTAATCCGTCTTACAAATTTAATTCACCTATTTATTTAATTCAAATAAAGATATGGCGGAATTATATTTGATTTATTCTCATAATCAAATTTGAGATATTATATTATCTCTTACCAATTTAAAATTGATATAGATCTAATTTATCCTTATAAATTAAATCTAATAATTAATATCTCTTATATGTATATAATATGTATATATATACGAATATATATATACACGTCCACCCTATATTATTCATTGAATCTGGACATATCTTAGATTCAACGAATCTGGACATCATAGCTCGTGTTGGGCTATTTTGTGTGCGACCCTGTAGGCCCGTATGAAGTTAGCAGTGGGCCATTAACTATAATGACTCACAAGTCATAAGCGGTCTCTAGCAAGACATCACAACTACCCAAATCATATGAGGATCATTGAACGATGTAACCTTTCATACAACTATATCACGTCCCTTTTGTCACACGACATTTTGGTTATGGATGAGGCATGGAGAACGTCATCCTCCTATTTATGACCATTACTTTCTCGATCCTTGAGTAGTCTGAGTATAGAAACGGAACTACCTTTTCATTATAGTATGGCCATACATTTCTCAGACTCACTTATTGAGGGGCCCAGTAATATCTCTCTACGAATGTGAGGGACAAATTCCATCTTGACCATTCACATTCCTCCGCATGAAAAACCACTAAGCCTGAACATAGTCTTTATGATCACTCGATCAAAAGTGACTTTTGACTAGGCAAAGCTGAGCGTTTTTCATGTAGGAATCCATGATGATCTCAAGTCAAAGGGCACAGTGATATGGTTTGTATATGAGAGAAGCTTATGACTTAGCCCATGCAGCTCTCTCATAACGGGTCGGTCCAACACCTTATACTCTTACGTGTGCCTATGACTTTGATTTATATCTCTATATATCTTCAAAGTCATACTGGTCTTATTTCATCTATGCTCCCACATAGATGACCGATCAGGGACATTTAGGATAAATCATGAGTTATTCAAGGATAGTCATCATAGTAAACATGCAAATAATATGATAACATAATTAAAAAATTCATAAATCAACAATGTTCATAACACAATGATTGGCCCCTAGGGCACAATTTCCAACAATTTTTTATGAAGGATGTATGTAAAGTCAAAGCTAAATGCTTTAAGAATCATATCGCACGTAGATGAATTGTTTGCCTACAGTAAAAAGTATTTTTGTAAATATTTTTTTACAAATCAATATAAATTCTTTCACATATTTACTTCATATATATACTAAAATTATTTTTAAAATTATAATTTTATTTCCATTCAAACACCTTTTAAATAGGTAATGCCAGGTAGAGATTTAGGTCATGTTTGTTTCTATTTTTTCTTTTTTTTTCCAGAACAATTTTATAAAATTGTTTTTGGGAAAATTAATTTTTTAATCCTTCAGCTTTTAATTCACTTATAACTTAGTCCCTCAAATATGACTCGGTGCAATTCAGTCCCTATACTTTTGACTCGGTAAAAATTCACTCCCTTGTCTTTTTATTATTTATAATTTTGTCCTTTGCCATCAATAACTCGTGCTGACTCTACATCATCTTACATGGCAAGAAAATTTATTAATATCATCTCACAGGGCACCATTGCCGTCCACCACATCATCATCATCATCATCATATTAGAGCACCGTCTGAGTCTCAAAGCAGAGCGTTGCGAATTTGGCGTTTTTTAGTGCTAGGCATTACTTCTCTATTCTTCTCTTGCAACTTAAGCACCAGCAAGGCCTACTGCTCTGTTTTTGGTCATACGCTCCATATGTTCTTTTCTCTTTTTCCCTATGAAAAATTTATGTATTCTCACGAGTGGTGACCCATTAAAATGGTGAACACCAGTTCACCAATACTCCAATACAGAAGAAAAAAGTTTGAAGAAATGAAACAAATTAAGGCAATCATTCGAACATGTTTCAGCAATTAATAATGTATTACTCCTCGAGCTTATCATCAAAGGGAGAATTTTAGTTAAATTTCAAGGTAGTAATTTAATAACAGTGAGGTCTTAAGACAATCTTCAATTGCAAGATTGTGGAGGAGGAACTGCAATATTTTGGCACCTAAGTATTTTTAACTTGGATTTTAGGATCTAATTGCAATTATCCCAATTAAAGAAAACCAGAAAATGGAGGAAGAGATCATCTGAAACTGCAATGGTCAAGTCTTCTACAAACCAAGGCCTCAATTTTCATGACAGTTATTATGGAGACAAATTTTTAATTTCTTACCTACTCCCCTGATCTTACATACAAAGTTAAAATGGCCTGGAGAACATATAACCAAGAAATAGAGCATATACGATCGAAGTGATGAGCAAGAACACCCAGTACGTTAGTGAAGCTGATAGATGACGATGATTCAAACAAAGCTACCCTCTTAAGTTGTTCTTCTGGTTCTGTCTTTGTTCTCCGCAATTTTAACGATCTTTTAATTGTCACATGAGTAAATAGTGAACACAAACACATGATGCAAGTGAGGATATGGTGCCCATTGTCTAAGACAGAAACATGGCAAACCAAGCTCTGTAGAAAGATAATAGAGAACTAAGAATGCTTAAGACTAGGAAGCAAGAAAGAGTCAAGAAACGCCAAACTCGTAACTCTCCGTTTTGAGACTCGGATGGTGCTCTGATGATGATAAGGACGGCCATGATGCCATGTAAGATGACATTTATAAATTTTTTGCCATGTAAGCCGATGTAATAATGAGTCAGCATGAGTTATTATGGCAAAGGACAAAATTATAAATGATAAAAAGATGAGGGAGTGAGTTTTAACCGAGTCAAAAGTATAGGGACTGAGTTGTACCAAATTATACTTGAGGGATTGAGTTATAAGTGAGTTACCTGACAACCTCACTAATTAATCGGAGCATCTCCGGGTGGCTCAGGCGAAGATTTGCAATCTGCAATGGCTCATCGCTCGGCTTCTCTGCACGATGTTATGCAAGCTAAGGGAGAGCATGGGAAACTCAAAATGTATTTGAAAAAAGTATTTTAATATAAATTGAGATAAACCTCTTTTCATATTTCTCTTACATTATAAAATTATTTTGAAAAAATAATCCAAGCACCTTACGTTTTTTGAAAGTTTTCTCCTTCTGGCCAGTCTGTTTTTGGAGTTCAGCACGAGATATTATCATTATTTATCAGTTTAATAAAATGTGAAAATTGTTGTTACGTCCCAATATTCAGGAGAATTATTATGAAGTCTGAAAAATGTAATTACTAAAGAATTTTTATAATAATATGGTAAATTTTAAGTACAGGAAAACATATTCATGTTCTTCGTTTATTACAACTTTACAGTATGCTTTTAGGAATTTTACAGCAAGTCTCCCTCTTTTGTGCCTCTCTTTTATTTTGTGCATTTAACCTTTGCGATGAGACGAAGGGTAAGAAAGGCAGAGGGTTAGCCAATAGTCAGTTAGGTGAATGGGTGCGGATAGTTCATAGGAATACTATATACTATGAGGATTCTTTCTCAGTTTCCGTGCAATTAAGAAGACCGGAGCAGACTAGGGCCTCGCGAAAGATTGATCCTGCTCGACGATCTCTGCTACGACTTCATTCTGTCGCCGAGGATCTTTCTTTATTTTCCCCTTTCTACTCCCGCGAGCTTCCTTCTTGTAAAGTGGACCAAACGGCCTCGCCGTCCTGTTCTCTGTCCCTCTCACTCTCATTTACCCTTCCCTTGAGGATGGGCTTTTTCAGAAAGATAGCTGGATTATTAGGGTTTGTAAAGGACGACGTCCACGAATCCAGAGGTGAATCCGATGATGACAACGATGGCCATGCTCCCCCACGCGTCCGTTTCAAAGAAACTGGGATTCCCCGCAAAGGGTTTGGCGTCAAAGTCGAGGTTCCGGTCGATCGCCCTCACCTCGGTCCTGTAATTATTCCTTCTTCGTCCGGCGACGGGGGAATTCAGGTCTTTTATTTCTCAATTCGCGCTCTAAGTATTTCATTTTTGTGCTTTTGGCTGCTTGTAGTTCGTTGGGATGGTTGTATTTATGACCCGGCCGCTGTAATTTCATAATAATCGAGCGCATGTATTTATGCAAGAACATATTTTGGGTTTGACGACTCTTGATTTTATTGCTGCGAAACTGTTGAATCTTTATGTTTTGCTTCTTGGTCCAGACACCTGAATTGCTGAAATCTGCCCCCTCCTCACGGATTCCCTATTGCTGCGATTTTTAGTCCAATCTCCGTTACCTAATCTAAAATGTGAGAAAAAGGAATTCTTAATCTACAAATTCTACATTTAATGCATCTTATAAAAGTATTCATTGTCTTGAAGAAAGGAATTTCTTTCTAGTCGCTTGCTGTGAATGGCCATAATTGTATCTCTGGATCTTCTATGTCATTTTTGAAGTGATTTTTACTGTATAATTTAGTAAGGTAAAACTGAAAGCGTGCAGAAGTTATGGGGAAAAAAAATTCTGCTCACTTCTATGCACTAGGGACGAAAAGGTTGTTTGGAATGCATAGTAGTGCCTTTAATCATGCTTTCTACGATGGGCGCTATGTGTTATTGGAAGTTGTTCTTGCCTTTCTTGCTAGCTGGCATCCACGTACTTGTGTCAGTGGTCCTTCTGTTAGTCCTTGTAATGTCTCTTGTAGGAGGATTTGTTCCATTAAAATGGAGAAAATGCTGCCCGGAAAGAACTGAACTGACACAAATACAACTCAATCAGAACCAACTTTCAAGAATAATAGAAACAGATTTAAATCTAAGTATGAAGTTCTCTATCGGTATTATTACATGTGAAGCTAGTAGAATATCATTGCATATGTCTAACATTGCTTCCAATGCAAGACATAAGCCGTTCTTCACTCTATGAGTGCAAACATGGTGCATGACATTGTCTCAGTTGATCAATCCAAAGAGAGAAGGGTTTGGCTCAAAGTATTTGAGCCCCCGAATGAGTGGTCAATTTGCCTCATGTTTTCCAAGGTAACTTTCTTGAGAACGTAACATCTTTTGTAGGCAGTATTGCCAAAGTGATGTGCGTAAGAACCCACTCCTAACAGCCCTGCTGTGAAAATTCAGGTAGCCTTCATTGTATATAGAGTTTCATGTCTCACACCCAGTAGATATGGGACTCACCTTCCTCTATCACAAAAAGCCTGTTGGTGAAGTTACAGTAATAAGCGATTGATTGATTTTAAACAGAAGAAAAGCAGATGAGATTTTTATGCATAGGGAATAGTTATTTGTTCTTTCCATGGCATTTTTCAGGTTCATTTCCACAAAGCTGTTCAAGTACACGCCTGTATATGATACAATGAGTAAAACATCCTTTGAGACCTTGTATACTCTGCTGTAAAAATTATATTTCTCTAGAGTGGAACTTCTGTTTTCGATTGCTATCTTTACCATCTCTTGGTACAATGCTCTGCATCTATTCCCTGTTCTTTTGCAATCCTTGTTTTGACTCTCGTACTTTCATTGCATACAATTATGTTGTTATCTCAGCTGAGGTATTGAATAGAACCAGGACAACTCATCTTTTGTTTTATCAAGTCATCTTCTTGCTGGCGGTTAATATATCTTTACTCAAATGTTTCCTTCATCAGGGTCTGAGGTGGTATGCTGAGGGCCTTAAGATGGATGAAGATGGAGATGTAGCTGATGAATTCCTTGATGAGGTTCCTTCGGAGACGTCAGCACCTCAAGTAAGTCATCATAAATTAGTGGCAAAGTTTAAAGTTAAGAACGGTACCAGGCCGGCCAAAGTGAAGGGACAGACCTTACTAGATGGGAAGCTTCGGCAGTATGTGGAACACCAAGGCAGATTGCAGTGGGTATAAAGATCTTTCTAGAAGTTGATATGGATCTGGATTCTTTGGGCTTTAACTGTTGAGTCTATACATGCTATGGGAATCTGCCATCAAACTCTAGTCTTTTAAATGAGCTTTCCATGATGGTACCCTTTTGGTGTTTGGTTAAGTTTTATGTTCCGCCAGTAATTGGATTTATCTGGGAACTGCTGCATAAAGTCTGTGCAAGTTAAATGTTCATGATAAGGAGGTCGGAGTATGTTACCCAAGAAACTGAATTACCTGTCTTGCACAGCCTACGTCAACTGTTCAGTCAGGCGATTGAGATGTTTTGGGTTCAGCGATCACATAATGCGGAAAGGTACCTGGGTTAGCGGTATTAGTAAAACCTTAGTGGACAGCTTCTTAATAGACTGAGTTTGGAGTTTAATGCTCTTGGTGTTTTCTAGATGCATTGAAATTGAAGTTTCTTGTGACTCATCGAGGCATGGTAGACTGTATATTGAAACATTGTCCATGTTTGTTACTATTATGTTTCTATGAGTAGTGCGTTCCTTGCTGCATATAGTTGGCCTTTTACTGTTTGTAACAACTGAAATTTAATGAAGAGAGAGAGTCAAAATCAGTAGTTTAAAAGTTTCATCTTAATGTATTATTATTTTGGATTAAAAAATACACAGAAGGAACATAGACGAAGAGCCACCATCACTTACCATCGATCAAAACAAAGCAGCTGTTCTTGCGCTCGTTGATGATCGTGTTTCCTCCGAGTAGATGAGCTGGGACGGTACCTCCAGGCCGCAGAGCTGCTGTTGATTGCTTGGCGCTATGTTGTCGGTAACATGTCTGGCTTTCCTTTGTTTGTGTCGTTGCTTCATGTGCCTGCGTTGGTCGCTCCCACCCTTTAACTTCATCTACTTGTAGTAATAATAATAATTGCAAACTCGACAAACAATAATAGTTGTTTCATCAAATTGAACTCATTATAATCGTGTGCGTGCGTAATAGAACGATTTCTTGATAAAATCATGTTCACGGCTTTGGGTTCCTAATGCTAATACTAGCGTCACATTTAAAATGCTTAATACTACCTCCGATCCTTAATATAAGATCCTGGTTGATTTTTATTTTGATTCTAAATATAAGACCTCAATCTATTTTGTTTCGCATATTTATCTATTTTTTTCGAGATAGTCTTTATAATAATAGTAGTTCTAACTAATAAACTTGGTTAGTAAGGATATTTTAAGAAAGATAAAAACTATTTATTACAAATAACTATCTTAATTTATTTTTTTAATTTATTTAAATTAGTTAACTAATATTTTAAGAAAGATAAAAACTATTTATTACAAATAACTATCTTAATTTATTTTTTTAATTTATTTAAATTAGTTAACTAATTTTTATATTTAGGACTGGAGGTAGTATTAGAGAATTCAGCCTTACGATCCACTTCTTCCCTTCGTGCCCCAGCCCCATCAGCCCAGTCTAACAGGCAGCCCAAACCCTTTTTTAAAACTAAACTCACTCGGGGCAAAAAAAAAGAAAATAATTACTTAATTAGAGAAGAAAGCGGCATACATGTGTCCGACAATGATTGGATGAGCGGGGATGCACATATACGATCTAATCCTGCAGCGCGTGGGAATTGGTTATCCATGGATAGTGTTATCTCTGGTGAGTCCTGAGCCGTGACTCAACGGTGAGCTCCACCAGAAGCAAAGATGTCCCTTCGAATTCCCTGTAACTGCTGCTGCATTTCCGACCTAAGGTCGCGATCCTTTCCGTCGAAGACCAATTATTGTTTCACTTCTTTCAAATGCCGCCGCAAGATAACGTCGGAGCTCCAGACACAAGCTCAACTCACTGCTCGCACGGATTACTCCTCCCCATCTGTTCCCACCCATAAAGTTACAGTGCATGATAGGCAACGAGGAGTCGTTCACGAGTTCCTTGTGCCCGAGGTATCGGTTAATTTCTGATTGTTCTCCAAGAATATGCCGGAAAAGTGAAGTTGATATGAAAGTTTCCCTTCTCCCCATCCTCTGCAACGTGGTCCTTCATTTATTATTATTTTTTATTGCTCTTCTCCATGATATTGTTATTGATTATATGCTGTGATCTTGTGCGATTTATATCAATGCAGGATCAGTATATATTACATACTGCTGAGTCCCAGAACATTACGCTTCCCTTCGCCTGCAGGCACGGTACTAGTATTCTCCATTTTTCGGAACTGGCTAATCTTTTTTCTTTTTCGCACTAATAAAATAATAACGTATAGCTCTGAACCGTATTTTCGCTCTTATCTACTGCCGGACCGATGCCATTGTATAACACTTAAATGCTTAACAGATACTTGTTTCATAATATCTATATATTGTGATGAATTGCATTCCTATGTGGCTATGTGATTCCTCGAGCATCAACTCTGCCTTGCAGGCATCCTCAGTTTGACTCTATAAATCATGTGATGCATCTTGAAACTTACGTTGCATAATGCATTGCTTGCCGTCCGGATTGAATATTCTTCAAGAGTTTGATGCCGACTTCTTCTGTTGGCAGGTTGTTGTACAAGCTGTGCTGTGCGTGTAAAAAATGGACAAATTAGACAGCCAGAGGCACTAGGAATATCTGCTGAATTGAAAGAAAAGGCACGTATAAATGACGAGCTTGAATCTATAGAGTGGGCTTATTTATCAATGCATGATCTACTTATGGAATTTATAAACGCAATTATAATTTGGTTCTCAAATTATGTCAAAAGAAGAAAATTATAACTTTGGTTTCATTTTCAGTATGGGTTGTAGGAGACTTAACTGCGAAAGCTAACCGATTCAAACTAGGCATCTTGTGACAGAGTAGAGGAGATAGAAGTGGTGGCACAGTAAAATTGCATTTATATAGTCTATAGCTTGTTCACAAGAAGGATGGTGGTGTTAGCAAGCATGATGTTTTGGATAAATTTGATTGCCAAAAAAGGGCGGAAAAGTGATGAAGATGTTTTATTTGATTTAAAAGAAGGATTTGAGTTAGGAGTGGCGCGTCTTGATTCTCCATTTATATTTTATAGTATCTTGCTTATATGTTGTATTAAATATGTACCAAAAAAACTTATCCTGTAAAAGGAAAAAAAAAATTAATGCTGCCCAAAACAACGGTTAGCTTGACGTTATTGGCCATCGTCTGTCCTTTGTTCAGTGTAGACATTCCTCTATCACTAATGGTAATAATCAATCTCATCACCGAAGGAGTTGCTTGCCGTTCTTCCAATTACAAATTGGAGGATACGATCGTAAACTCAAAACTCAAACATAAAGTACTCGTGCTATTTTTTGAAAAATGAAAAAAATAGAAACTGCTGTAAGTTAGATTCTGATCCAGAAAAGTATGAAACTTACGAGCCTTTTCAGGGTTATGCGCTTCTTTGTGTGGGCTTCCCGTCTACTGATATCGAAGTAGAGACTCAAGATGAAGATGAGGTAATGAGTGATACTGCAATTATGTTTTGATATGAAAATATTTCCCCTTTCGAGTGATTGAGTTTTAAAATTTTGGAAATTGAAATGAACTATAAAATATTGTTGCTGTTATCATTCGTTGCTGATTCCTGCTGTGGAAGTGTTTTCTTGATGCAAGAATGTAAATTTTAGTGTATCTGGATAAATCTGAAGATCACTATCCTCAATCAGAGATTATTACCTGCAGATCTCCTTTGGAATAGACTTGCTTGTTTTGCCTTTGTGGGAGCTCAGTTTGTTTCTTTCTTTTTGCCCTTCTTTTCTTTTTCTGTCACGTGGAGAGTTTTTTTTTTTTTTTTTTTTGAGTTGATGTTCCCTTTTGCTTTCTCCTCTTCGTAGTTTTTTCTTCCTTAGCATTATTGGTTGGGGAGGATTCCTCCTCCTCCTCCTGCTATGTACTCTGCGAGTGTGTGTCCTGATTATGAATTGAGGGAGTGATGAATTCTTGGCGCTTTCAGGTATATTGGCTTCAATTTGGACGCTATTTTGCGCGAGGACCTGTGGTAGGTTACGTTTTCCTCAACAGTCGAGTACTTGAATTACCAAAGAGTAAATGTGGCTTATGATCCCCATGTTAATTGTGTTACTTTGGCATGTTCATTATTACAGGATAGAGATGACTATGCCTTAGAGTTAGCCATGGGTGATGAATAATCAATTCAGACAAATTCTATGGAGCGAAGACCGAGAATTTTACGTGTTCCCCTTCTCAAGTTACTGCTCTTTGGCCTGTAGTTTTGACCTCACATTAATCTTTTAAGCATGCTGTACATGTATCCTACCCTGGGTCATTTGATATAGTGAACTGTATATCACCCTTGTGTATGCATCGCCGTGCTTGCATGGCTCAGTCTATATTAACTATCTGAACATTAAAGCTTCATACACGCTTCTTTCTGTCTTGATTTCCCGATACATAAATTCGTGCACCCAAAAGAGAAGGGACAAGAAAAGTGAATTCATAAGGTTACGTCGTTTTCCCTGGCTCTTACTTTGGATCAAATGGATTTAACTACACATACTAGAGATGAGGCCAAATCAAAGGAATGAAGAAAAACAATGCTGGTAATGAGGATTCTTACTATCGTCGGTTCAAGGATGACAAAGATTGCTCTTGTTCTACCAAGAGAAAATCTCACTATCGTCGGTTCAGATATCCAAAGAATTCTTACTCCAGGAGAAGATCCAGAAAGCCTTTCCTGAGATACTTCAGGAGGCGCAGACCTTATTCAAAGAAATCTGACAGGTGCTACATATGCAAGAAAAAGGGGCATTTTGCAAAAAATTGTCCTAACAAGACAAAAAAGGATGTCAAGATGCTAGAACACTTGCAGACTGTTCTTATGATCAATGAAGATGAAGATATAGAATCTGTGATCGAAGAACAAGATGCTCAGAATGAAGAAACACAATATGTTCTTCCTTACTCTGAGGATGAAGAAACTGATTCTGAATCCTTTTCTCAGGAAGATGATAGTCCTCAAAGGTATTTATATTCCTTTGAACAGCCTGTGCATCCGTCTTCTTTCCTTGGTTCCGTGGCTTCTCAGCCAGAACACAACAAAATCACTCCTAAGCCAAATGTCAAAATTCATATCCTTCCAGGAAGATATGAAAAGCCAATTCCTGTTATTGCTTTTATTGATACTGGAGCATGCAGAACCATCATGAACCCTGATATTCTTCCCCCTGAAGCATGGATCCCTTGTGATCAATTTTTCCTTACTGCTAATTCAAAGCCCTTCAAGATTGAATGGATAACTCGCAGGAAGATTGGTATTCAATTCTTTCCAGGATGTGTTCTATGGATGAAAGTTCTTGGTAGTGATCTCCCGGGGAAAGATATTCTTATTGGATTTGATGCTTATAATCATACTAGGAATCTTCAAGTCTTGCCTAAAGGAATTAGATATAAAAGTTTCTTTAGTGCATATACTGAAGTTCCTAATCTCTTTGAGATCCAACAGGCACCACCAGGATATGAAGATATTCGAGATCATCTTCTCAAGTTTTGTGCTGATAATCATCAACAGTTCTCTCATCCATTTCCATTATGGAAAAACCAAGAATTTTTCATAAAACTCCCCTTCAAGAAGAATGAAGACATCAGCCCCACGAAAGCCTCTCATCCAGGAATGAATCCAGAAGATCTCAAGCTCGCCAAAGAGGAATTTGCTGCACTACTCAAACAAGGCCTTATTGAACCAACAAAATCTAATTGGGCTTGCCAGGCATTCTATGTTGAAAAAAGATCAGAAATTAAAAGAGGGAAGAAAAGGTTAGTCATTGACTATAAGCCTCTTAATATTTTCCTTCAAGATGACAAATTCCCTTTACCAAAGCCCAGTTCACTTACAGTCCATCTTAGAGATGCAAAAATCTTTTCCAAGTTTGATCTTAAAGCAGGATTTTGGCAATTGGGTATCCACCCAGAAGATCGACCCAAAACTGCCTTCTGTATTCCAAACGCCCAGTACCAATGGACTGTCATGCCATTTGGGCTTAAGGTCGCCCCATCACTGTTCCAAAGGCCATGACCAGAATCTTTGAACCTATGCTTGATAACCTCCTCATTTACATTGATGACCTTTTACTTTTCTCAAAAGATGAGGACTCCCATAAACTTTTATTGACCCAGTTTGGGGAAATAATTGAAAAATACGGGATTATGTTGTCAGCAAAGAAAGGTGAAATAGGTGTCAACAGCATAGAGTTTCTTGGAATGCATTTTGAAAATGGTCAGTATTATCCCGGACCACACATTGCAGAAGAATTACTCAAATTCCCAGACGATAATCTCACAACAAAGCAAATCCAACAATTTCTGGGCATTATTAATTATCTTCGGGATTTCATCCCTCATGTGTCAAATCATACCAGCCAGCTGTCCAAACTTCTCAAAAAGAATCCTCCCGCGTGGGGGACAGAGCAGACCTCAGCTGTCAAGACCCTCAAAAGAATTGCACAGCAACCACCTCCTTTAAAGATCCCTGACAGAGGGTTACGAATCCTCCAGACTGATGCTAGTGATGACTTTTGGGGAGCTGTCTTAATTGAAGAAATAGATGGAAAGAGATTTTACTGTGGACATGCAAGCGGACAATTCAAGGAGTCAGAAAAGCATTATCATGCTACCTACAAGGAGATCCTTGCAGTCAAAAGAGGAATCGAGAAGTTCAGCTTCCATCTCAGTCCTTATCAATTCAGAGTAGAAATGGACAATACGTCTTTTCCAAGAATGCTTGATCCCAAGGGAAAGACTTTGCCAGACAGCCAGTTACTCCGATGGAAAGACTGGTTCTCTCGCTATAAATTCACCGTCCATCATCTCAAAGGTCACCAGAACATCATAGCAGATTTCCTCACGAGACCTCAGAAAGTTTCCCAGCCTCCGAAACTCCTGTCACTCTCCAGACCTCAACCTCTTTTCATCCTAACCATCTCTGAACCAGAAATGCCTCACAGAATGAGAGCTACCATTTTCCCTCCTGGATCCCGTCCTGAATCTCCAGCAGATGTCCAAAACCTTGCCAGAAGTACTATGTTCTACTGGCTCCACCGTGTTTTTGTAGATACTGGAATCCACCCTTATCCTCAGCACTTTGATGCCGATGCTCCTTACCTCACTGTTCCCATCATCAAAGGACCCATACCAGAAGAACTTTTATGGTACATCTGGTCTGTCTCAGCCAATTATACCTGTGCCATAGCCTTCTCAGCTGTAGTCATACATGACCACCTGAATGACATCAGGAATCAAAATTCTCCTCTTACCACACTCTTTGAGATGATTGCTCCTCTTCCCTACTGGAGAGGAAAACTCTGGAAAATTCTCAAAGAACATAATATTTGGGACTTACCAACTCCCAAACAAAAAAGATTTTTCTGTCTGTATACCTTTTTCAGGAACTATGGAATAAGTGCTAACCAGAGGCTCTACACAGACAACCGTCTGATCCTCCAGGTCACCACCCCCTCATGGCCAAGAAGGGAAGCATTGCTAATGGAAAAAATTGGGAAGACATTAACTGCACTTAACCAGCCTGACACGGGAGAAGACACTTCATGTCTTTCTCTCGGACCTTTCCCTCCAAACTCACCATCTGCCAGCAACACAACACTTGAAGAATTCCAGAGAGATTTCATCCTGAGTACTGTCAGACCTCCACCAAATAGGTCACAAGTCCCTCCACCGACAGAAGCCGCCAAAGACCCTTATGACGGTGACAACGACTCACAAATTCAACTCACTCAGCCTGAAGGACTCTATCTCCCTCAGCCAAGTTTCCAGCCACAACTCCCATTCCTTGCAGGGGAATCCCAGGATCCTAACCAAGAAGACCCTGATCCAGAACTCGAAGATTACTACTACTCAAGAAGCTCAAGGAGACACTATGACTCAGATGACCCTGACCCAGAAGGCATCATGAACCTATCCCCTAGCCATGAGCCTATCTATAAAGACTAGGGAACATCATCATCAGAAAATCTCCTTTTGGGATACTCTGAAGATAAAGCGGGACCCGCCAGAATCCTACTTTATGTCGCTATCTACTTTTACTTTATTAAAGTAGTTTGTCCTGTAGTCTATTTCGTCCTCTTGTAATAAATGGAGTAGTTGCCATTATTAGGTGTCATTATGAGAGTAGTTGGTAGTTAGTAGTTGTGATTATTAAATGTCATGTCATAATGACGTCTACTATTACATCTACCCGTCATAATGAGGTGTACTATTAGGACTTTGTCATGTAGTGACCCCGAGCGTCTATATAAACCCCACTCTGCCATCAGTTATGGGCAGAAGGAGTTGTATCGACTTCCTTGTATAATACTAGTGTGCTTTCCTCATGAGTTCTCTCTAAATTTCTCTCTTCTTCTGAAAGCCTCACTTATGATATCTTTCTTCTGTCGCCAGAGATTCTAAGTATGCTCTGCACTTGCCTCTTTAAGAGGATCATGTGCATCAGAAAATAGAATCCGACCACGATCCATGAAGGAGTGTTTGGTGACAATCTTTCCAGTTATCCTAGATCTGGTATTCAAAGCTGAGAGTCCTAACGTGGCCCGTCAATGAGTTGAGAATGAGTGGCCTTACCTGGACTGAAGCCTTGGATATCAGATTATGTTAGCTTGGTTCGGTTCAGCTAACACCCGCGTGTGGTATCAGAAAATAAAAGCCATATGTAATGGGAAAAGCCCGGTTGTACACCGACCTTAGTCCAAGTGGCAAGCGCCAAGTCACCCTACGTGTCCACGTGCTGACTCACAAAACTTGCCATTAGGGAATAGTATTTTTGCTGACTTATTTAGAAAACCATGATAAACCCTCTCTTGTAAAAAAGGAAAAAGACAACCATGATAAACATGAGGAACTTTTTTTTTATCGCGACACTTACAGGGCTCATAACATATGTCTGCTCTGTATAACCACGCCCAATGAACCTAGGGGGAAGGATCTGAAGGGCTCAGAGCCTGGGAAATTAGGAGTGTGAAAAAGCTCACAGGCCCAGTTCAAACGTCTTAACACAGAATGAACTTCACTTCGATGAAGGCCTGCTTTGATTCAAGTGAGGTCCATAATCCATTTATGTGTTTCTCAGCTGTTTGCATTGCTAACGAGTCAAGGTTACCATTAGGATCTAGGTGGCTATAACAGGGTGGTCCTGTGCTCTATCAGCAACGAGAGCGACTTCAGAAGAGTATGGTGGGAATTACATCACTCGCCCACGCCTACCTCACATTCCTGCCGCCCAAAAAGGGCCCCTCATGGCTTACATGCAAAAGGGTCACCTCAACTATGAAAGCTACACACTGTTCTGTATATGGACCTGGCATCAGCTGAGGATGTGATTTTTTTTTTTTTTTAACCGAAGATTACTGTTATATCAAGTCAGAACTGTGGAACATAAAATTTAGCAGCTTGTCCAGCCACTTATTATTGTGATATTACTTGCTTCAGGAGTAAAGAGACAAGGACGGCCAAGTAGGGTCTTTGTAGAATAATAACTAATAAACGCCTTAAACTCCAAAAGGAGTAATTTTCGATTTGAACGGGACATAATCGACATGTCCAGATCATTCACTGTGACTTATTTTTGCTACCTCCAAAAAGGATTGAGATTGACAATTTGACATGCTTCGTTGGGAGACAAAACAAGTGCCAAGGAGAGTCTGAGAGCCGAAAATGACGTATGTTTTGACACTGGGTTAAACTACCACAAAGGTTGCTTCCGTTATGTTATGCTGCTCATCGAAAGATATGGCCCAATTTGCCGGCCTACCTGAAGTTAATTTACCACACAGTACGCACGTGCCACCTTAACTTTCCAAGTTTTCACCTTCCTTTTAAGGCATACTGCTATTTACCCCACCCCATAGACTAGTTGGGGGGCTGTTCGCCTTTTTAATCAACCATTATAACTTGAAATAAATAGCCTGTACTGCGTAATCCTCACCTCAATTTCATCTCTGAAATATCTAAACGGACTCTGATGTTATCATTTTCAATCATGAATCAACCCCATCTTGTGTTTTCTTTGACTGCTTATTTTTGGAGGCTGTACTTGGACCTTTTGCCCTGCTGATCCTAAAGTAGAAAGTATCTGAAAGGTAAAGGAATTAATGATGTGTTCGGAGCTCCTTCATAAACAACTCATCACCTCATCAGCAATCGGAAATACTTGGATTTTCTTAAAACACTCATTACCAGGAATCTTAATATAAGATAATAATATCCGTACACTAAATCCACCGAAATCATTCATTAATCCACGCAAGGGAAAAATAACTCTATACATGTGACTGTGGATAAACCACTTCTGCGCTCTGATACGTACTCTTTAGTAAGAGAAATATCTAACACGCAAGTAGAGATTGTGGTAATGACTTGGTCACAAGTTTAGGTATTAAACTTCTGTTCAGTCGTGCCTGCTGAGACCTGCAAAATTCAGCAGCGCTATCGTTTAGCATATAACAAGAATCCATATGAAAAAAAATCACACGTTACAGAGAAAATCACTCTTTTCTTCCATTCATGACATTAATGCATAAACAAAGGCAAGATGTTTTTGAACAGTAGGCAGTTTCTACTTTTCCCCTCTTCAAAATTAAAACCTCAGTCAAGAACGCCAGAGGAAGCAATCGAGTGACTATCTGTGAAAATACTCTTCCAAAAACAGTATTATTCACTCTATCAAGTAAGGAACCAAAACAGTTACCAGAAATTTGCAGTGTAAGTGAAAAATAATTAGACTCTACTGACCCCAACGGATGACACAAAATTGCAAACAGCACATTTCACGGATCTTGCTCCATATTGGTACATCAGCAGCATCCTGCAGTTCCCACAGTTGACATGAGCCACCTGATTTGCTGTCAAAATGAGAAACAATATAATCTTAAGCTCAAAACATATCTTCCAAACTGATGAAGCCATGAATGAAAGCTCAGTACCTTCTAAAGCTAGATTTACAGTGTGACAGCAAGAGCATTGAACACTGGTGGCTCCACGAATGTACATCAGTAAAGTGTGGCAGCCTCCACAAACCAACTGGGCCATTTCAGTGCCTGTCCACACACAAACATGCTTCTCCTTTGACTGTCTAATTAATAGTCCCTTGACCGAAAGAAGAGAGGGGTATGGGCAGCAAATTGAACCTTGAAAAGGGAGAAGAAGCTTGAGCTTACCAGGAGGAGGCACAGCTGTGACTGCATTGCAAACAGCACAACAAACAGAGGTGGCTCCAACAGGATACATTAGAAGGTTTCTACACCCAGAACAAACAAGCTGACTCTGTGCACCTGAATATCCATGCAGGTTTTTACATGGCTTATAAGTGTTCAGTAAATGACCAAGAAAACAGAAGTATGGTCTCTTTTTCATCTACCATTCCCCACTTTCTTCGAGACAAGAAGAGTGTTCCACATACTGCATACAAATTACAGTCACGCAGGCATTTTAACGAACTCATCTACATTCTCAAATATCCCCTTTCTTCTGTGAGCTAATCGGAGAACTCGGCATATTTCAAGTTTATATCCTTTCTTGATTCTTCTATTATTGCTTTCTATACTTAACTGTAGGAAGTAAAATTGGATTATTTATGACATAATGGAAGAAAGATAAAAAGTAAAAACCTCCAACCGAGTCATCGCCAACATTAACGAGAAAACCATCCATAAACAAAGCAATATACCATTTGACGGAGGACTATATGGAGCGGGGGGCGTCGGATAAGGGGCAAGCGGAACTGGCATTATGTAAAGCCTGAAAAATGTTTTCTTTCTCTTCCAAACTCTAGACCCAGAAATGCACGACTCCTCCTCCCATTTTCCCAACTCCTGGAAAAAAGAGGAAAGAATGTAATGCTTCGACTGTAGGAGGGAATCAAGATATGGCCACATGGTAATAGAATAAGAGTAAAAGCTGTGAAGCAAAGGGCATACCAGAAACTAATCAGCACACCAGATAGCGTAAGATTCAAGGGACAAATTTCCCCTTCAGAAATGCATTCATAAAGCTAGAGGTTGAGGGAGAAGGGGCACAAGCTGAGAAGCCTAAGTCCCTTGAAGAGAAATGAAATTTTAGTTGAGTAACGTAGGAGTGGGGCGAACACATGCCATTGGGACTTGCTACAGATGAAGATGAGAGAGAAGAGAAACAGAGCAAGGAAGATAAGCAGGCATTGGAAAGAAATAAAGAGTCAGAAGAGGCTGAAAAGTGCTTGTAAAAATTGGTTAATCAGTTTTTTCAAATTTTACCTTCGTTTTTAATGTGTTATCCTTGTGGGAATTGAGAAACTCTCGTTGTCTGCTTTCCCCCTTTTATATCTGACTGATTCACTGCCATTTCTGTTGGGGGCATATCAAGATCAACTCTGTCAAAGGAATCCCGGTCCTACTCCCATCTCTATCTCTGTCTAAAGCTTCGCCATTGGTGTACTCACAAAGCATGCACGTGATCAGTGATGGTTACTATAGCCACACTCTTCTCTCACTGGAATTGTATGGCTCGTGACGAGCCACGTTGCCTGAACCTGAACGGGGCGATCAAGGCCGTCCGTAGCTAAAACGCAACTCGAAGATGCAGAAATAGAACCCAAGCACAAGCAGAGTGAGCCTTCCACTTTTCAGCATGTGGTCCTGCATGGATCCTTGATTTATAGTAAGCTATGAAGAGTCACATTGCCCTCAACTAACAAGCTTAAAAGTAGAAACACTAAGACATAGTGCATGCCAAATGACATTATTGGCGCGGTTGGCCAGTGGCGATGTCAAGCTCCAAACATATATATAATAGTGGCCCATGTAATTGTTCCTTCCTTCGTTTCTGGGCATCACTGTGGCAACATGGTATAAACAAGCTTGTTAACAAGACGAAGAGTCGAAGATGATGACTTCACAAGAAGCTATTAAACAAGCTTGCATTTGGACAGAGAGAAAATAATAGAAAGGGCGGAATAATGTGAAGTTGGCGAAGACCGGACAGGGAGAGAAAAGAAATACAAGTGGCGATGTGGGGGTGTCTGGTCTGGTCTTGTGGTGTGGGTAAGTAAGTTATGCCTTTTCGCAAGTCTGAAGCGTTATACAGCAAGGTCCGCAGATAAGCAGGGGGACCACGAACATGTACTTTTATTGGACTTTCTCCGCGTTATAACTCTGATCCTGCTGGATATTCCTCTCGTTATTGTTCCGCAGATACCCCCTCAATTATTCTTCTGATAAAGATTATTTCTTTATTCTTTTCTTTTTTTCCTTCAAGTCTTGGAAGTTCCTTATTTCTTTTATGCCCATTTAACCTATAGCTAGAACCCCACATCCTGTCTAGATGTGAATTAGAGGGCACTCAAATTCATCAGGCGATTTAGGCGCAATAAGAGGAATGACAAGTAATAGCATAAAAGGGACAACTGAAAAAATTGAATCCTGATGTAGAGCTAAATCCTGGATGTTTTGGTTGGTTCATGTTCGTTTATAGTACTATGTCTATCCAGTGATAACAATGTAGAGTGAGAAGATTTGGAAAAAAGGGTCAAACTCGGATTGAAGCCCAATAGATGAATGCCCTCCTATTTGGCAACATTAAAAGCGTGTTTTATTGTCTAAAGCACACCAATCAATAAAATGCAAAATGAGAATGAGAGATGGTTCACATGAAGAATCGGTTGTAGGTAGGCAGACCCTATCTGCAATCTGATCCACATCCTAATCCAGTCATCTTATCCTTAATCTGTCTAATCAGAGCTAATGTTAATGGATGAAAATGATTAACTCAATCTCCAGTGAATTAATGGCATGCAGCTGAAGACTATACTTATGGGTCCAGTAAGTTGAGATCTGAAAAGGACTCTGGAAAATCTCAACATGGATATTTTGTTAGCCTTCAACTCTTTTGTGTTCGGCCACACCATTTCAGGTTCATGTCTATGGGCGGCGTCAAGTGGTACACTCTTCACACCCATCTCCATTAACTTGTCGTTCAAATCAGCCAACTGTTTTAATAGATATGACATACTATAATAATAACATCATTAATAGAATACGGTTTTGTTTGGATGTGTGTGTCTCCCTTTCCTACGGGAAGGGTTAGGATGGGGGTAAAATTTTTGAAAAATAAGACTTCAAGTTCAAGTCTCTCTTGTCTCTGCCTCAGGTTCCTGCCTCCCTCGGCCTGGAGTACCGCGGACGAAGGAGTAGTAATATACCAATACTATAGCCTGAATTCTCAATATGACAGCTAACTTTGATTTCAGTGTATTTTATTTCCCATGTTTATTACTACCTCTGATTCTTAATATAAGATCTGTTTGACTTTTATTTTGATCCTAAATACAAGACTCCAATCCACTTTGTCTCTCATATTTATACATTTGTTTTCAAATTAGCCCTTCTAACAATGATAATTCTAGTTAATACATTTGATTAGTAAGGATATTTTAAGAAAAAACAACATATATTTAGGACAAATAACTAACTCAACTTACTTCGTTAATCTCCTCAAATTAGTTAAATGGCTTTTATAATTAAGACCTGAGGTAGTATTTTGTTTCAAACTACTTTAACAAACTCATAAACTAATGTTATCTTGCCTGCGGCTAATCTTTAATATAAAATCTAATTGGATATTAGATATGATTTTAAATGTGCTCCTCAAATCATGTTTACAAGGTAGAAATTTTTTTAAATCTTATTTATAAAGCAAAGAAAGAAATTTTTTACATGAATGTACCATTCATTTATCATGGTGTTGACTTTGTTCTTATGAGTTATAATATACTCCTCTAGTCCTTAATATAAGACCTATTTAATTAATTTGATTAGATTAAGAAAGTTAGGTGAGTTAGATAAGTTAGTTAATTATAAGAAATATGACATGTTTTTCTAAAACACTATAATTATCTTTCTTAATATCCTCCCTTTCTTTTCTACTTGATTATGGTTGATGAAGTATTTATAGGGATAACTTAGAAAAAATTGATAAATATAAGAAATAGGTTTTATATTTAAAATCAAAATCAACTCAACAATTAGGTCTTACATTAAGGACTAAAAGAGTATATTAAATAGGGACAAAGTTGAAAAGTTATTGAATTTTAAATGAGAGTTAATGAAGTTTTAGATTTTCCTTAGTCTGTGTGAAATACATTAAAAGTAACTTATAAATAGGATTAGATGAGCAAGATCTTAGTTCACTTTATTCCCTACTTTTTCCTAAAATATTTCTATTAATTTTAAGAGGTTGTCACGAAGGGCTAGTTATAGTTTGGAGAGACTAATACATATTTGTGACAAATAACTAACTTAATTAATTTTTTTAATTTTCTAATTAGTTATCTATTTCTTGTATTAAGAATTAGAAATAGTATAATTTATCCGATTTCTCTAGCCTATCCAAATCAACTAGGCAACTCTTATATTGAGAATTATGAGAATGTAATTAGTAGCTTCTTATAGTGCACGTAGTTAGATATTCTCTGATTTTTTACAGTTATAAAAAAATAAATTACTCTTTCTTGGACGAATTACGTGTCTTTTAACATATACTTCATTCAAAAATCAAATCATGTGCGACCCTAATCACAGCAACTAAAATTTTAAGATGCTGTTTATTTTTATCAATGCATTTTACGATTAATTTTATATAATAACAAATAATATATAAATACAGATTTGATCAATAGAAAATATTTACTATTTTTAAATTTTAAAACAAATGAAAATTTATAGTCCTTAAAGATAATAATATTAAAATTGTATACAAAAAAGATTCCAATAAAAAAAAATATGATTTTAATATCATTTTAATAATTTTTTTTTTACTTTTAGAGAATTACATAAATTTTTGTTAAGAAAAAGGAAATTGCATATCCCAACGATTTCATCATTTTGGAAAACTTGCAAATAAAGACCCCTCAATATGTAAAATTATGATTTGGGATTTTAAATTTAGCAAATAAGGACTAGATCTCATTTCTGCAAATATGAAATGTGGATGAAATGTCTAAAATGCCCCTCAGATAAATTGTTATTTGGCCTACTAAAATTGTCATTCACTAAAATGAATTTGTTATTTTCTATAGTCAATTTATCTGTCATTTGGCATACCCTCAACCAAGTTGTGATTTGGTCTACTGAAGTTGTTTTCGTTAAAGTAAACTTGTCACTTCTTACGTTAACTTATCATTTGGCTGAGGGATATTTCAGACATTTCACCACGATGTCATATTTGTAAAAGTGAGATCGGGTCCTTATTTACTATTTTTCAAATTAAGAGTCTCAAATCATAATTTTATATATTGAAAGGTCTTTATTTGCAATTTTCTCTTTCATTTTTTTTTTTTTGGTTTCATGTTGAAAAATTATCCTACAGTTTCTTGAATCAGCTTTGTCCTGGGCCGTGACTGATTGTTTACTTGTTGAAGCCCAAGGATGACGTTTATAGCCCACCACTACAACATAGTCACACATGTTTTGGGCATTGCCTTTCTTGTCCAATTAGTTGCGTAACTGTGTTTTTAAAAACTTGTAAAAGTAAACAGAATTAAGATTTTTAAAAAAATTAAGAAACTATATTATTCTGTCTCAAGAGTTATTTATAATTCTGTTGGGCCTTACAGGCCTAAAATTGTTGGTCTGGGCCTTCCCTAATTTTGTTCATGTGGAAAACAAAAAAAGAGTAGAAGAACTGAAACGCAGTCGTGGAATAACCACGTCATGAGCCATGACCCCGAAAGATCCTTCAGACAAATAGCTTCACTGCTGCATGCCGTCTTAATATTTCGTTGCTCTGTTCTCGCGGCGAACTTGCTGGAGCACACTTAGAGTCAGGTGCAGATCTTCACTGAGCTCTGTGAGGCTTTCAATCAGCCTTCAAGTTTTTATCTTTATTTTTGTTTTGTAACTCCTCTCCCTCGGTTTTCCCCTTTATGTTTGCTTATTTGTCTCTGCTTTTGCTTGCCTCTGTATGTAAGTTATAGATGGGTTGCACTGGAAAGGAAAAACACATCCGAGCAAATCGAAAATCTCAATCGGTCGGGCCAGATAACTGCTGTCGTCACGGAATTTCAATTTCCAAATCTATCATAGAATCAGGCCTCAAGCCGCTGAAATACCATCTGGGTCTGGACGGTTCGACTCAAAGCCCTAATCCCGATTCGCACCCTAACATCAAACCTGCTCCTAATGGCGAGGAATGTGGCTGGGGTTACTGCACAGAAGAACACTTGGAAGAAATTCTATTGAAAAACTTGGAGTATTTATACCATGAAGCTGTATCAAAGCTTGTTACACTGGGGTATGACGAGGATACTGCTTTAAAAGCAGTATTGCGAAACGGGCATTGTTATCATGGTGGTACGGATTTGCTGACAAATATAATGCATAACTCATTGGCTTATTTAAATAGTAATAGTGCTAGTGATAATGCATGTAAATGCAATTTGGATGAGTCAGAGCCTGTCTTCTCAGACTTGAGGGAATTGCAGGAGTACTCTCTGGCGGTTATGGTATATCTCTTGCAGCATTTAAGGCCGCATTTGAGTAAAGGTGATGCCATGTGGTGTTTACTTATGAGTGATCTTCATGTAGGAAGGGCAAACAAAGTTGAAATCCCCGTGCCTCCTGAGCCAGGCGGTGGCAATCCTGCTTCTTCTACAGTTGAAGCTGTTGACAATTCAGTAGCTGTGGTGACCCCATCACTTTGTAGGCTTCATGGGAGTTGGGCATTTGCAAATAGCGGAGACTCAGATTTCCCTGCCAACGGATTATTTTCTTGTGTTGCAGACATGACTTTACAAAGAGATATTGAATTCCCAAGGCATTTTAATCTTTCTCCTTCTATGAAGTCATTGTTGAAAAGAAATGTGGCGGTGTTTGCTGCTGGTTTGAGGGCAAATTCAAAACAATTGCAAACAAAAGCAAAAGCACGTCCTGGCAGTAGTTCCTCATCTAACTTGGATTCTCTTCCTATTCTGGGGACCAAACCTCCAGTTGAGAAGTCAGGGAATTCTCAGAATCAAAATAACCAAGATGCTCTGAATTCAGTTCTTAGTAGATTCCGTGATCTAAATTTTGATGAGAATTTGGAGTCTCTGGCAGAAGATCACAAGGATGAGGTGACTTCCGCTATACTTCATCAGATTAGTGATCTCGAGAAACAGGTACAGGAACGAAAAGATTGGGCTTATCAGAAGGCAATGCAAGCTGCGAGAAAGCTAAGCAGTGATCTGACTGAGCTGAAAATGTTAAGGATGGAAAGAGAAGAGGCTCAGAGATTGAAGGAAGGGAAGCAGGCCCTTGAGGACACAACTATGAAAAGACTTTCAGAGATGGAAATTGCACTGAGAAAGGCTAGCGGTCAGGTGGACCGTGCCAATGCAGCAGTGAGGAGACTTGAAACTGAAAATGCAGAGCTCAAAGCAGAGATTGAGGCTTCTAAATTGAGTGCTTCAGAGTCAGCCTCAGCTTGCTTGCAAGTTGCAAAGAGAGAGAAAAAGTGCTTGAAGAGGCTTGTAGCTTGGGAAAAACAGAAAGCTAAGATACAAGAGGAGATTTCACATGAGAAGGATAAAATACTGGAGCTGCAAAAAATGTTGGGTCGGATCCAACAATGTCAGAGAGAAGCTGAGGTATGCTCTTACCTCCGCCCTTTTTTATCTATCTAATAACGTCAGACTTGCATAAAAGAAAGAATAAGAAGAAAGAAACAAAAGGTTTTGTTGCTACATCCGTAATACAAGATTATTGATTGGAATTGCACATTTCATTTTAGAACAAAAATAAGATATATATATATATATATATATATATATTGTATCAGACATCTCCAATACAGCAAGGCAGGTGTGAGACGCACGTTGCTATTGTCACATCGAAATTTATAGTTTTGCACTCATTTGGGATTGCTGCAATTTTCTGCATACTTCAAAACTATTTCTATTTGCTTCTCCAAATAAGTACTTCTCTGGGGTGAAAAAGCAAAAAAAGAAGCAGCGCAGCAAAATAATTTGAATGATTGGATGCATAATTAGCTTGAAATTGGAGTCTGCAAACTGTCGATTAACACCTTTAAGTTCACTCTCATATATCAGGCTTAAGTTGTGTTTGTATATCATATATTCAATGAAGCAGCTTTTCTATGGGATTTGTATTACCAGAAGAGGAAGTGTTGCTGGTCTTTGCTTGCTTTTCTTTCCTTGCTCTTTGAAGCAAGCAAGCGCTGCCCAATCCAGCACTAACACTATAGGCTTGAGCACTTAATCCTCTCCTATTGGGAGAGTAATCTCCTATCTTGTAACAGTTACATATAATAGGCATGCCAAGAGCTTTTTCCCCCTCGTAGATCCTGAATCTATAACTTAGGTGATTCTTCATTCATAATTCTTGAAATGAAATGATTAATCTTTACGATTATAAGTCTATGACCATGGTAGTTAATGGTTGTTATATCTGATTGTTCTCTCCGTAAACTCCATTTATGCTCTCTCAATTAGAATGAAATAATGCCATGATGTCATCATTGTTCAACTGAATTTATTAACTTTGTATTGGATCCCTACCTTTGTTTTATTCCTCATGTAAATGTCATGCGGTAAATTGCTGTTACTGCTTGTTGGTTCCTCGGTTTTTGCTTCCTCGTTTCTTTCAAAGAATATCAAAACATAATTTATTCTTCCCTCTAGTTTATTTAGTTAAGCAGCCCATGCTTCTACTGAACGAGTACGCTGCATGATCTATTTTGACAGATCAAGCGGAGGGAGGAGTTGAGGGCTAAAGAGGAAGCCTTAACGCTGATCAAGGAGGAAAAGCGGTTGAAGGAAGAAGTAGAGGCTAATAATAAGGGGAAGCTCGAGGCTCTACGGTTAAAGATAGATATAGATTTCCAACGCCACAAGGATGATGTCCTCAGACTTGAACAGGAACTCTCACGTCTTAAAGCATCTGATCAGCCTGCTAAATTGTACCATCACCAATCAAACAGTTCACCTGTGGGTGAGTCCGAGGATGCAAAGCCCCAGGTAGAGACAATTGCTATGCTGCTTCAAGAATTAGATAAATTAGAGGAAATCTCCAAGAAAGGAGACAACTATGATAGGGAATGCATTATATGTAGGAAAGATGAAGTGTCTGTTGTATTCTTGCCGTGTGCACATCAAGTGATGTGTGGTAGGTGCAGTGATGAGTATGGGAGAAGTGGCAATGCCCTTTGTCCTTGTTGCAGGGTTTCAATCGAACAGATGGTCCGTGTATTTGGGCCAACTTCTTAGCTTATATTCTGGTCCAGATATTTGCTGATTTTTCACATTTTACTTCCAATCATTAGGGTTGTTTGTCTTTAATCTCTTAATACAATGCATGCTGTGATAATTGCTCATTTGTCATTAATAATTTTTTTTTGAAATCTCATTATAATTCTACTCTTGTTGGGTTCTGCCATTGGCTTGACAACAGGAAATGTTGGGATTCTCAATTTGTTAATATTTGAACAAGAAACTAAATAGTAGTATAACTAGATTGGTAAAAATATTAGTTAATAAGATGTTAAAATTTATTTTTTTTGGGGCCAAATGTTAAAATTTAATTTGAACACTTTAGAGTTGTAGAAACAAGTAGGGAAAATTTATTTATTTTATTATTTAATGTTATAATAAATTAATAATAATTTTTAACGTGTTAAATCTCAACCATTGAAGTTGAGATCAGGGGGGGAAGGTAGGAGAAGAGGGGGAGCAGGGAAGACAGCTCCCAAACTTAGAGAAGCAAGCTGAGCGATTAACGTAATCCAATTTTAATATATGGAAGTCCTTAATTGGCTGCATATTTTCGTCAAAGACGATCATTCTTTTGTGGAGAACATATATCATGATCAAATTGTGGATGCTTTTTATGGAGAATGCTAATTGAGCGAAACTTCTCATTGTTTTCAAGAGATAATTTACCTAAGATCTTTTTGTTAATTTCCTTGTATATAGTGGTCAAGATTAAATGTTCATGATGAGTAGTCCCCCCCTCTCTTTGGTTCTCCCTTGTAAAAAACGATGGAGCCGCACACCTTCTGGATTTGAACATGTATGAGATTGAGGTTTATGGTTCTAGAGAGAGGGAGAGAGAGAACAAAATTATGATAGGATCTGATAAGAAAGAAGAGTACAGATGGCAGGATGGAAACGGTGCCACATGGGGAAAACTAGGCTTCAAAATGCAGGAGTTGGGAATGCACGAGAGAACCGCTCATAAGGGAAGAAAAAAATAAAATAAAAACCAAACCAGCTGTTGTGACGTGAACTCGGCGTAGATTCTGATTCATGAAAGTTAGGTTAACGAATAACAATCCACACGCTTCTTTCGGTTCCAAAAGCTTAATTTGTGACATTATGAGGCATTATTGGCTCTACTTGCTTGCCGTCACCCAAAAGGGTTCCTTTGGACTCTGACTTCTCCCAACTACACTGTTGCCCCATTCTTTATTGCCCAATCAATCCTTCACAGCTCCCCCAACTTTTAAGTATCTATTGCCACTGGCCTGCTTGCTTTCTCAGCTCAACCACCCTAAAAAAGCCAAATTACATGGCTTAGCAGTAATCTATGTTAACCTCATGATATCAAGTTTATCTGCTTTGTCTTGGTACTTTAATTGATCTTTGTGTACGTAGCCTCAAGTGGTGAGATTCTGTTAGGGTCAACAATCACACTCATATTAGCTATTTTTGTTTTAAAGGTGAGAGGAAGACTCCAACATTATTGGACGGTTCTCCGCGTTTCCCTTGCTTCCGTTACAAAATTAATGCCCTTGATCATGATATTCCCCATAGAGATGAGCTCAAACATATGAGATGAAGAATCTATAAATCCATAAATAAATTGTACAAATACCACTGTTAAATATTCTTACAAAACCCCAAAAAAAATGGAAATCAAATACACCAGAATGAGAATCAACAAAAACTGTACATTCTGGTTACTAGAGAACTGTATGCTTCTTGACATGATTTTCTATCAAAATTCAGCTATTTCCATAAACCCAAAGAATTTCTCAACCATAACTTTTGGAAGAAAACTGTACACTTTGTCTCACAAGCAGAGCAGAGTGGCATCTAATGACATATGCTGAAATGAACACAATACTGCTGTATATTGACTTCTAAGTATTAACTTCTAAGACTTCCCATAAACTACTCACCTTGAACTCTTGTGAACTTTAATGGATGTCACGTGAATATAGAAAAGACATGGCCAGCTTCTCCCTTTCCCACATCATAAAAAGGCTGGCACTTGCGTCTCCTCATACATTTAGAGTCCTACACTCCCTACCAAGAAATGGTTTTGAAATTTCATGCAGGTTTAGAAATGGCAATGGCTGGAAATGAGAATGGCAGAATCACTGGGAATTGGAAGAAATGTGTTCATATAGTTGGTGAGAAACTGAAGAGGCTTCCGAGTTTGGCTTGGCAAACCATGTGCAAGGTGGGACACGAAGACCCCAGAAGGGTGATCCATGCTTTAAAAGTGGGTTTGTCTCTAACTTTTGTTTCTCTGCTGTATCTGGTGGAGCCACTATTCAAAGGGATTGGAAAGAATGCTATTTGGGCTGTAATGACCGTGGTGGTTGTGCTTGAGTTCACAGCAGGCCAGTTTCTATTGTTTCTGTTTCTCCTACTCTATATCCTGCCTTTGAACTCGGATGACCTTTTTCTACTTTCTTGGGCTTACAGGGGCAACATTATGCAAAGGTCTGAACAGAGGATTGGGAACCCTTCTGGCAGGATTATTAGCATTGCTTATAGAGTGTATTGCAAAATCATCAGGCCATGTATTTAAAGCCATCTCCATTGGAACTGCTGTTTTTTTAACAGGTAAGCCAGATCTAATAATTCAAAAAGGATCATGCCACACATGACTCGCCAATTTCACTTTGCTAACCAATGAGATTGTGCTGTCATGTCATATTTATCTAATAGGATCTGCTGCTACTTATATGAGGTTCTTTCCCTACATAAAGATGAACTATGACTACGGCGCAGTGATATTTCTCTTGACCTTTAATCTCATAACTGTGTCGAGCTACCGAGTTGACAATGTATTGACCATTGTACACGATCGCCTGGTCACCATAGTCGTAGGCTGCGGCATTTGCCTTGTCATGAGTCTATTGATATTTCCAAATTGGTCAGGGGAAGACCTTCACAATTCCACTGTTTTCAAGCTCGAAGGCTTAGCCAATTCTATAGAAGGTATGCAAACTATCCACAGCCTCAACTTCCTTTTATTTTTTTTTCCTTAAAGAAATCATAAGAGTGTAGTCAAGATAAAATGTTGCAGCGTGTGTCAATGAATACTTCTATGGTGAAATGGAAGCAAGTGAAGACATAAAGTCGTCCGAGGATCCTATTTACAAAGGTTATAAGGCAGTTCTGGACTCAAAATCCACTGATGAAACACTGGCAAGACATCTGCTTTAGGTTCATTTATTGAATAGTAAATGTAACAGTTCATTATAACATATTTTCCTGACGTTGCTGCTTTCTATTATGAACGAGTAGGCATTACACGCAAGTTGGGAGCCGAGGCACTCAAGGTATTGTCACAGATTTCCGTGCAAGCAGTATGTGAATGTTGGAGCTGTTCTTCGCCAATTTGGGTACACCGTGGTTGCTTTGCATGGCTGTTTAAGAACTGAAATTCAGGTAATATTTGAGAAATCACATTAATTTGATCACTCAGTTAGTTCATTTCATGCTTAATTTCTTTTTCTTTTTTTTTAAGACGCCACGATCTGTTCGAGCCCTGTTCAAGGATCCCTGCATACGGCTTGCGGCAGAGGTGTCAAAAGTTCTCATAGAACTAGCCAACAGCATAAGGAATCGTCGCCATTGCTCTCCGGAAATACTCTCCGATCATCTTCATGAAGCCTTACAAGACCTTAACACTGCAATAAAATCTCAGCCTCGTCTCTTCTTGGGATCCAATAATAACCGAGCAACCAACATGTTTGCTATAGCTGCGGCACAGGCAGGGCAGAAAATGCAGAAGCACAGTAATGGAGTTTCCCTATCAAGTGTTAAAACCGACTCTTCGGCATTGCTGGAGTGGAAAACGAAGAGGGTTTCTGCTGAACAGTCAAAGGACGCAGAGCGAAAGTCTTTAAGACCCCAACTAAGTAAAATCGCGATAACTAGCCTTGAGTTCTCTGAAGCTCTTCCTTTTGCTGCTTTTGCTTCATTGCTGGTGGAGACAGTTGCAAAACTGGACTTTGTCATAGACGAAGTTGAAGAACTGGGGAGATTAGCCTGCTTCAAAGAGTTCAAACCCGATGATGAGGTTGTTGTGACTAGTGAGAAACCCCGTGTTGATGTGACTCAAAACCATTTACCTTCTCACGGTGTAGATTGATATACAGAGTTCTTACCAACTGTATTCTTTCATGAATAAGAAATTAATGATGCTCTATTATTTGATAATTTTTGACGTCTTTGAAATATAATATGTTAATTGGTCCAGGGTCACTATCGAAATTCCGTGAAAGTCGTCTGAAGTGCTCAAAGTGCAAGCTTATAGTAGAAGTGCGCTGGGGGTAAAGAATACTTCCATTTGCCTTTCATGGCTGCTGTCCACATCCATTAAGAGACAAACCTGAAACCCCCCACTGTAAAAGCTTTGTGCAAAGAAAACGAAAAAAAAAAAAATCCCTTAAGCCTGTCATCTTCCACTAGCAAGATCTAACAAAGAAATATAGAAAAATAAATAAGCATAGACCAACCTCCGTCGTGCACTCTTTTCACTCGTTTCATTTTCAGCTCTCAAAGTGGAGCATTATTGTCGAAGGAATTATTCTTTTGCAGCAATATAGAAGCCTTGCTTAGTGAGGAAAAAGCCGCATGTACACTTTTGGACGGGAGAATCTGTCACGGGCATTATCGTATTATGTATAGTATAGTTTAGTAATTGCTAATGCTTTTTTGGAAAAAGCATTATTAAAAGTCATATACTAGTGAGCTTCTCTAAACGCGTTCTTGCCAAGACGGAGAGACCCATGGTTGGAGTATTAATTTTGTAAACTCGGGGAGATATACTTGTGTGAATTGTAGTTTCCTGGAAACTCGTAGCACTCTCGAGTATATATAATTTGGGATTAGTGTTTGTGTGATATCATAGTGGGTATGCCTGATCCAAAATGATGGACTTCGGATTAGTTTTATTTTATTTTATTTTCAGTAAAAGGTAAAGACGAAGTGCCAGAAATCATGTGATTAGATGATGTTAAAGCGTGTGTCTCTTCAACTCTGCTACAGACATGTTATAACCATGCAGTAAAATGAGTCTGCCCACACTGCACTGGTATTTGGAAATGTTCATTCCTCATCAAGAGATAAGTATTTAAAGAGAATATCAAAACCTGGCTTGTTATTACCACTTGTAAACAGTAAGTTTTTGGACGCTTCTCAAAGCAACTGGCACAGTGGCGTGGTCCTATCAACTCCAAAAGTAAGATTTATATTAACTTTATTTTTTGAAGACGCAGCTCTGCTCTGATGAGGTTATATGGCGGCTCTGGTGACTAAAAGTAGAAGCTGGAGCCCAATTTTGTTGGCATGCAGATTCTCCTTGCCGTTGCTTCCTGCCTTTGACTTCAAGATTTACATAATTAAGCATCTTTTCCTTGCGTAATCTGGCAACAGTGCAAATACATGATTGAATTACGCATTCAAATCGGCTGCTTTCATGCATTGGACTTGGCACAGGAAGAACATGGAGTTTTAGAGAGGCTACAATACAACAAATATATTATCAGAAGCTTTACTTAATCATAGAAGCTGGCTTTTACAAAAGATTGATAGTAAACCAACTCTGGGTGAAATCGATAAAAGTGATTATCACCGGGCCACACTACATAGTGACACAAATGACAAACATACTCGAGCACTTCAAACAGAAAACGAATTCTGGTTGGTGCGTAATAGGTGTACTTTTACGTTTTATTTGTCACTCCAAGACATACATTAAAAAAAGCGTTGCCTCGGATATATATCTTCTAATGAAAACCAAGTCATAATTTAACTAGATAGGATTGGACTCTCGCATCACAGACTCGAAACCGTCCCTAAATTCTCCTCCCAAACTCTCATCTTCATCACCTGCTTGTCTCCTTAGAAATGTCTCGGATACGTGATTGAATTGATCTGATCAAAACCTCCATAAGGCATAGGGTCATTTCCATAAAAGTTCATGAAATTTGCCTGTGCCTCCATGTAGGTTGACATACTAATATCACCAGCAGATTCAATCTCCCCATTCAAATTTGAGTAGGATGAAGAGGGTGAAATTTCTGTGTGTTCCATTGGCTGCCATGGGGTCATTGAGCTTGATAAGTCATACTGTGGAAAGTATTCCGACACTGCATGTTGTACTTCAGGATAGTCCTGCAATTGTTGGAAGGGGAGAAAGGTCAGAAACGCGTCTAAAATGAGGCTATTCAATCTTAAGTTTTGTTCTTTTATTCGTACGGACCTTTGAAGAATCAAGAATAAAATCTGGAGAAATCCAAATATCTGAAGGATTGGTCTCCATGGAAGCTTGCTCGAACTCTGCCGTCTGAACCGCATCGGAGGGAGAAGTAATAGGGCTTGAATGACCACTCTCATTGTAGAGATGACTTGTTTGTGACGAAACGTCACCGGAGATGTTGAAAGGCTCATTTGAGATTCTCATTGAGGTGTCATTCCCATTAACAGAACTGCTTCCAGCCTTTTTACCCTTGTGTTCTCCCTTCAAATCATTTGGTTTCTCATTCTTCTTAATCACTCGGCACAGAGCAAAAGCACCCTAGACTCAAAACACACCAAACTTCACTCTTGGGCCCCAACACTAAGACAATACATTGAAGGGGGTACAGTTTAAGAACTTTGGCACAGTAAAATATACCTGAAAGCTTGGTGATCCTGTGGCAAGATCATCACAAAGGCGATACTCGTGCATGACCCAGTTGGTTCGATCTCCTAAAGGGGCTCTTCCACAATAGAAAACCAGAGTTTTGCGGTAACCGGTGACAGAGGAAGGAGAACAGTGGCACACAACCTTTCTGTCTTTTCCGGTGGCTTTCCAGTATCCAGCTTTGGTTGCTCTGTTTGTTCTTGATCCATTCGGATACTTTCGATCCCTGGGACAGAAGAAAAACCATTCCATATCTCTCTTCGGAAGGAATGATTTCTCTGCACATCGCACGACTCACGAGTTAGACTTTTCAAATTCCCTTACAACGAGGAAGAAAAGAAAAGGTCGTGGCATTCGCTTTTTCCAATGTTGACTAAAGAATTAAAATCCCATGGAATCGGCTTTTACGGGGGAAAAGTTATCAATAATAATTAACCCCAAGAGCAAATTTCAGAAAAGAAGACAAATAAGACTCCGCTTTCTAGCGTTCAAAGTGTCTGTTTTCACGCTGGTATAAAAGAGTTTCTTTTTACTACTATATTATATTGCAAATGATCACAATGAGAATTCGAGGATTACCCGGTAACTCCCAGGGATCAAATTTGTAAAGATCAATGACGGGGATAACTTCAAGCTCAATTTCCAGCCCCTCCACTTTTCTTTTCAGGTAATATCCCACCAGTTCTTCGTCAGTCGGGTGGAATCGAAAACCTGGTGGCAGTGACGCACCTCCCATTGTAATTTCTTTCTTTCTAAGAAACCCTCAGAATTTTGGAAACTTGGAAGGAAAAAACAAACGACGATGGAGTAGCTCCAACGGAGGAAAAATAAATCAAACTCTCTCGGAAAAGCTCAAAACTTGACAGAGAATTGACAATAGTTTCCAAGATCTGCAAGGGGATAATGCGAAATGCCGCTAAGTTTCCAGACTATATCTGTTGAAGATATGAAAAATCCAAAAATAGAAGCTTCTGTCTAAAATAGATTTTTTATCAAAAGTCAGGTAGAATTTCCACGGACGGCACCCGTTGAATGCCAGAATCATCGTATTAAAGAAATTCGAGGTCTCTTATCGTATCAGCCCCCCTGCACCCCAACCCCACCTTAATAATGAATCCCTGGAAAGAAAGAAAGAAAGAAAAGAAAGGAGGAGGATTCTTCTAAGAACTTGAAAAAGTGGGAGCTATAGATGCCCAGAGAAACTGTAAACAAGAGTTCCAGAAAGACAAAGTGATGAAGAAGAAGAGAAGAGTGGGTAGGTAGAAATGAGGAGAAAGTGTAGAGTAAAAGCAGAGGAGAGTTGAGGCGTATTTATAGCATTTTGGAATTGGGAAGGGAATCGACAGTCCACAAATGCTTACACCGAAAGTTTGAGGTTACTTGTCTCAAAGTGCCCCAAAAATTCTAAAGCTCATTGGCCCACCACTAAACCCTTTTCCCACTAGACCAGAGCCTCGGGTTCCCGCCAATTCAAGTTATTTGCGACCGTTATTATTCCGGCGGATTTCAAATGAACAATAGCCCTGAAATTCTCAGATTCATCGTCCATCATCGTGCCCTTTGAATCCAGAGTGAAAAAGCAGAGAAGTTTGTGTTCTGTTGGGCGCCTCCAGTTTCATCGAAGTACAATTCAACTTTGAAAGTTGAAGCATCCTTGATTCAACTTTGACCCCTCCCAACACAATGCAAATCCTGAAACCTAGCCTCCCACTCTCTTTCATCCGCTCTTGTTCAACAGAAGCAAAGTGTTTACATGAATTCTTTTTTGATCACATAAGATTGTAATTTTGGTTTCAAAATGACTAAAATTAATATAAAAATTAAAAATATGAAACATGAACCAAATGTCAAATAAGTTGATTAATCTTGTAAATCAATTAATGTTCATTTAATTTTAAGAGGCGTCAAAATAATTAGAAGGAGTTGCACGGCGTAATTTAAAAAAAAAAGGGGAAAAAAAGAGAGAGGGAGGAATACTATTACTAAGCCAGTGTAAGAAATTGACGCGTAAAAAGGGTAATTGGAAGGAGTTGGCACTAAGCACAAAGGTTGAGACACATCATCCTGAGTCGGACAAAACACTTTGAGCTTTGTTTGAAGAGTAGAATTGAGAGAGATTGTGTCATCAGGTGGGACCAACCCTCCAAAAGTGGTTCCTCCTTGGCTTCTTCCCAGTTCCTTCTCATTTCTCATCTTAAAAGCAATAAAGCGATCCCTCAAGTCCTGCTTCTGGGGCCTATTCCTTGCTGTACATGCCCCCTCAAATCGTCACTGACTACTACTGCAGATATCTTCACTAAAGTTATTAATTATATTAATTAAGCCCTTGCTTTAACACCTACTTGTGTTGATTAGTTCTCTTCTTTGCTTTATGATGTCACTACACAGACTTGCTCATGAATCTAACCACTACTGATTTGTGACTTCTCCACATGATGATAGTGCTAGTAGAAATGTCACTGTACAAATATATTGTGATAGACTGATATCAAGACTTCGCGCAGAATGGTAATATGGGAGAAGTTGACGAAGTTAGTACTTGCTACAAACGTTAACTTCGGCCTCCCCATTCATTAACGGTCGTATAGTTAGTACTTTAAAAAGTGTTTACTTTAGTTAAACTCTATTTATGACATTAGTGAAAGCATATGCTTTTTACCTTCAACACTCATTAGCTTATTAATCTATGAAGCCACAATATTTATAGTCAACACTTGAACATTTTCTGGTTGCTAATCTTAAGCTTCTTTGCGCAAAACCTCTGCTTTTAGTTTTAATACGTAATCTACTGTAGATTTTCTTCTCGTCGATTCTTGTATATGCATATCAGATGCATTGGGTGAAAGAGAGATGATGCAAGTGACTATCTCATCATCATTAGGGTCGTAAAGCCGTTTTTATCTGTTCAGACTTCAGAGATTGGTCTCTGTGAAGTTATATTTGGCAAGGCGAACAAGAGAGAGCATTGAAACTGTTTGGGCCCTTTTTCAGATGCGATGAAAGGCAAAAGGGGTCAAATTAATTGTTTTGCTTTTGGTTATAGTGACGTTGATTTATATGGGTCTGATGGCGCAAGTACACTACCATTTTTGGCCTTTTCACACCTGGCTTTATTTTATACATTGTCCCAATTTTGGCGATCGCGTTCACACTGTCATGAAGCAAGTTCACAATCTGATTAAGCCAAAACATAACTCAAATGCTGTGAAATAGTATGGTGATTTGTCCAGAAGAAGGGAAAAAAGATGGCACTTAATTATATAAAGCAGTTACTATTTCCCTTATGTCATCATCCATATTTTGGCTCGTCTTTAATTACTCGCCTCTTCACAAAATCTCATCCTTATCTCCTTTTTTTTTAAAAAAAAAAATTGTGTAATATAGTCAGATCTCCAAGATATCAAATCTTGGATCTGCAGAGGTCGAGGTGTAAAGTTCCATTCATACATCAGTTAATTGCATATGTCGTCAGCTGAACTCGGTAGAAAAGTTCAATGACGTCTACTCTTACTTTGTGTGAAATATATTATTCATTAAGGGTCGAAATGAACTCCTTTCTATAATTGGTCACTAATAGTAGTTTTCATTCTGCTTTCTAATGGAGGGTTTCGGAGCAAAATTATGACGGATGGTGGGGCAGCTGAGCATGAGAGATCCAAATACGAAGTGTGAATAGAAAAGCAAGAGAGAAGATGGGGGTCTTAATTTGGAGCACAATTAAAATAATGGAAGAGGGATAGCGTGGGATCGTGCATGGAGGGGAAGTGGGGAAATACAGATATAGGCCACCTTATCCCTTGTCGCAGGCTGTTTGTCTTATGCTTTTATGCCGTGTCTTTTTTGTGGATTCGGTTGTTGCCAGATTCAGTGCTGTCGAGTCCATTCAGTGCTGTCAATCTCTGCCTCACACCCCACCAATCCCAATAACGATCACATACATCTTCAGCTTTCCTGAATTCTGGCTTCCCCAATCTCAACAGTCCCAAATAGATCAGAGTTACAGTGATTTTGGTCAAGCCGTGTTTAAATTCTCTATTTTGTCCTTTGCTGATGTCAAAGGATTAGCCCCTAGAGTTCGTATACATGAGGGGATTATAATCCGTAATCAAGAATACTGTATTAATAGTGGAGACGGGATTCTAATTATGGGAGGGGGACAGCTGGCAGGATCATGAGGGTTTGGAAAATGGGAAAGGGACGCTTTGCTCCATAGTTGCGACAGTGTGTTTGCCCAAAAGCCGAAAAGACAAAAGAATTATTCAATCTCACATAACCATGTCTTCGCATTATTCTCTGTTATCTCATTAATCAATTCCAAAGCTGTCTTCCAACTTTGTATGGTTCCTCCTCTTTTCTTCAACCCGTCCTTCCTTGTCCCCCCCTTCATTATTCACAGTAGCGCAGGAAACACATTGGCCCTTACTTTAATGAATTCCTCTCTCCATACTCTTTCATCATCTGTTCCTAAATTACACACAAACGTTTCAGTCGTTTCTAAGTTAATATAAAATTATAAATTCGATACCGGCGCATTAATTCAATGTGATGGCACTGTATTTTATGGTGATGAATGAGATATTGAACTATTGACACACATATAATATAATGTAAACAAACTAAAGGGAGAAACACTTACTATTACAGAACTAATTTAAAAAGAAATGAAGGTTGACAATGAAAGAGACAGGGAAGGGACAAAGGAAGGGAAAAGAGGGTAGGAGCGCAGACAAATTGTCGGAGTGAAATGACTTTAACGTATACACTGCAAGAGCATTACCTGGGAGAAGTCTGAGAATAACAAGGAGCAGATTTCGTTGACTAAAGTATAATCCAAGGATGTTGTGGTCAGATCAAATATATATATTTATACATATAAGCATCATCCTTCTTCTCAATTTATCCCGTCTTACATGGCGGCTCTCATCCCAATACCTCTTTTTGGAGTTTTGTTATGTCGAAACTTAAGAAACTCACCTCGTGCTTCGCAATGCTCTCTTCAGCCTTCACCCTCTGTTTTCATAATAACCATGTTCTCTCTCTCTCTCTCTCTCTCGCTCTGTTCATTCCACAAAGTTGCCCCTTAGCAGCCGCCATGCATCCAAGACCTTGTGGGCGACACAAATCATGAGCTCGATTTCCCATTCAAATCCCCAAATATGTTGGGATCCTCTTTGCTTCTATAGTCTATACTTTTTAGTAAGGGATGATACTCTCGGTCTCTCCTCCATACATTTGAGGAAACGCCAAGAGGATTGGAGAGTGAATAGCTTCTGCTTTTCTTGGGCCATGTTGCTGTGGATGCTTACGCATTTCAAGCACAAACTACGGTTGGTTCAAAGCAGACCCAAGGGCAGATTTATTAAAATCAATGAGCTGTTATTAATAGGAGTTGGGTCTAGTAAAAAAGACCAATCTCTCAGGTAAATTAATATTCAAATCTCTATTAGAAAATGTATCTACATTTAGAATCTGACAGTGTCTCGAATAGAATTGCCTTCTATAGGAGAATACCTATGCATCAGCCTAAAAAAACTAATGGGGTGCTCAATTGGACTCCCTAGTCCATCATCTTCATTTTTGGGCCTGAGAATCTCATAAGTGAACAGGGCCCAACACAAAAACTTCTCAGGTCCGCTTGAATACAATAAGCTAATTCTGGCGCAAAATCGTGCCTCTTATTGGCCGTCGAAGGTCAGCGTGGGGTCTGGTGAACGAGGGAACGAGACTTGAGGCCATCGAGTTGCAATTGGATGTCTTGGCTCAGTGAAACCATATTCAGCTGAACATCGTCGATGAATGCTTTCGCCTTAGCTTCTCCGGTTTCGATGAGTCCTTCAGCCTTATCGCCTCCAGTTTACAAACCCTCCGTCCTTTTATTCTCACCATCCGCGTGTACGACTTGTAAGATCGTTGGCAATCGCAAAACCAATTCTTCCGTCTCTGTTCAATCTTCTCTCACTTCACAGGCTGTCACTTCCGACCCATTTGTACTTGAACTTGCTGAAACCCTCGAGGACTCTGTCGCCTCGTCTTCTTCTTCAGCTCCCCGACCACTCCAGAAGCTCAGAGAAGCATCCTCTGAATCATTGCTCTCGACTCCTTGGCCTTCTCGCAAAGACGAGCCCTTTCGCTTCACCGACCTCTCATTCATCAGGTACTCAGAAATCCGCCCTGTTTCTCACCTTCCGGGCCCCTCATGCTTGTCGGCCATCTCCGTGAATACTCAATTTCCGTATCTTGGAATCGTTGATGGCCACATCGTAAAATCAATGTCCAATTTGTTCGGATTGCCAGAAGGAGTTTATGTTGGCAGTTTGTCGGAACTCACTTCCGCGAGCATAATGGATAGGATCTCGGAAATTGTTTGTGGGCTGAATGATGGAGACTTGTTTTGGTCTATCAATGGAATAGGGGCTCCTGATGTGACAGTAGTTTATGTTCCGGAGGGGTGCCGCGTGGAAAATCCGGTTCATTTGGCGTACTTTTCATTTGAGGCCAGCAACGAAGGTTCGAATGCAATGCACGTTTCAAATCCAAGAGTGCTTGTATTGGTGGAGAAGGGAGGAGAGATTGATATAATCGAGGAATTTTCCGCCGAAAACGCGAATCAATGTTATTGGGCAAATTCTGCTTTGGAGATGGTCATTAGAGAAGGTGGAAAGGTGAGGCATTCATATATTCAGAGTCAATCATTGGGTGCAGCTCATATAAAATGGACCTCAGTCCAGCAGGTAATTGCTTTTGTTTTTCGCCTTTATCTATTAGTATTGATCGTTTCAACAAGTCTCCTACATCTGAAGTAGGAATTTACTGGTCATATAGGGCTACCTAGGCTCTTAGTTCTAATAGGTGATCTTATGCCATGGTTTTATAATTGAGTTGTCCAATTATGTGATATGAATGACGATATGATTATGAAGGAATGATTACTGCTGTTCATTCCTTTTACAGTTAATGTAATTCAACGGAGCTATAAATTTGTCCACATTCTCTGCTCTTTTCAAAACTAATAACTTTCGAGTTAGTATATGTGATGAGGCAATGTCTATATTAGGGGAAAGCTTCCTGGGAGAAACTCGTTGGATGTTTTTTCAAGTGAAACAGGATGCCAGCTTGCTTCATGAACGAACATGGAAACCTGAATTGACGACAAGAAATTTACGTTGCAACGACTCGTTTAAATCCAACACTCTGCTTTTTTTAGTGCTAATTGTTCACATCAATTCTCTAGAAACTGCTCCAGATCCACCAAATAAAAGAGTCTGAGATTGTAAGTAGCATATGAAATGCTGTGGGTAAAAAAAAAAAAAGATGAAAAGTCACGTAGGAGTCATAGGAGTCATTTTTTATAGGGCTTGATTGCATTAGGTGAATTAACTGTTTCTTAAGTCCGTAAAAGGAAAAGGAATCTATTTTTGGTATATAATCAAGTATCATAAAGTGCTTCTTTAAAAATTTCTTTACATTGTCAAGTTATGCTAGAGTGGATATATGAAAGAAATTTGACAAGAGAAGCCTCACGATTTTTAGTTCATTGATCTCAGGAATCATCTAGTACATATGAGTTGGTTGAGGTAAGCTCGGGAGGAAAGCTTGGCAGGCATAACCTTCATATCCAGCAGTTGGGCCCGAACACAGTGACAGAATTATCTACATTACACTTGTCTGTTGACGACCAAACCCAGGATCTGCACAGTAGACTTGTCTTGGACCACCCACGAGGTTATTCCCGTCAACTTCACAAGTGCATCGTGACTCATTCACAGGGGCAAGCAGTATTTGATGGGAATATAAAGGTTAACAGGTAACTATGTTTTTACAGCCCTGCGATGACAATTTTATGAAATTATGTAGCTGGTGGAATCTAAGAATTATTATATTTCAAGGAAACCTAGCTTTTGTATTTTGTTTTATTTACTTCTGTTATCGCTTGCAAGTGGCAGAGTATTTTCTTATGAAAATGAATGCGAATGTCATGCAAGTTTCAGTATTTTAGTCCTTGGGTCCGGTTGCAAGAGCTATCCCAGAAGTTTCTAATATGGGATTGAAATCCCTTGCATATAACAGGGTTGTATTTTATGCTTTAGGTGATAATTAAAGTTAATTATTGAGCAAACAGATATGCTCTTGTTTCTAAATTCTGTGTAATTTTGATCAGATATAGGCTGCTTGATTTCAATGCTGAACTATTATTTTATAGGTATGCTCAGCAGACAGATGCGGGGCAGTTGACAAGAAGCCTCCTTCTTGAACCTCGGGCAACTGTAAACGTCAAACCAAATCTCCAAATTGTGGCCGATGATGTCAAATGCTCTCATGGAGCAGCAATAAGTGACCTAGAAGAAAGCCAACTTTTTTATTTTCAAGCTCGTGGTGTTGACACAAACACAGCTAGGAAAATTCTAGTTCTTGCCTTTGGAGGGGAGATTATAAATAAGTTGCCTTATCCTTCTATTAGAGAGAGTGTACAACGGCAGATTAAGCAATTATTGGATCCAGCTCCCAATTGATCATCATGGTGAGCTGTATACCGAATGTAAACATTATCCTATATTTTTTAATCCCCGAGTGTCATCTGGTTAAGAAATTTAAATTGAAACAATTATTTTTTGTGACCATCTTTTTCCCTTCCTTTGGGGGCCTCGCATTATTTCTATGTTATCTCTCTGCTTGCACAAGAATGAAATCATATTTTATATGGAAAAGGAATGGAGAAACTGAACTGATTCTATTTTAATATTATTACATTGTATATAACAATCTTGTCATGGTTGCTGGTAGCAGCTAGTACGCTTGATGTGAGTGAGGTGGAGGGAGTTGGTAGTGCATATGTAAATAACACGACTTGAATGAATCCACTGAAGTACCAGCTCTATCAACATCATGGTCCAATCACTCATGATTGCAGAAACTGTATGGCCTGCATTTTCAGAACCCCTAGCACTTTCCTTGTTAATTTTTCTCATATTGGTTGGACTCAGGAACTAACTTACGTTTCATTCGTAATGAAAAATTTCATATGATAAAGAGCTGAAGTAGCATTGCCTCAGGTAAAGAAAAAAGTAGCATTGCTTCCAATTTATCATTAAGCATCAAATTTTTGTGTGCAGCATGGTAGAAGTAGAATCTGACAGTCCACAAACTGTTGGTTTTCCAGAGACTTCACTCTCAAGAGGAGCTTGATATGCTTTTGGGGATGAGAAGTGCATTGAGGTTTTGGTACTCTAGCAGGTTCGATGTCTTATATCACTGCTATATTTGAAAACAGAAGATTGATGGTGCTTCCTAGTGTTCATTTTTCGGTTACGTAATCAACTTGTAAAGAAATTATCGGCAATGATTCATTCTCAGATATTGGAAGAAAGGCCAAGCTGGGGCCTTGGGGGGATATCCTGTTTCGGGCCTGGAAAACCCCGAAGAGGGAATTCGAGGATTGAAATTGAAAATTGGCTTTTGCGGGATTTGATCCGGGGTGTAGTATGCGTCAGATGGGCAACTTTTGCTCTAGACTTTAGGAGGGATTTTAGGTGCCCCATTGATCGGAGGCCCTCCTTGGGGCTGGGGGTGAGAAGGCACCTTTCTGAATTGTGGAGCCTGCGGTATCAAAATCTCTGTAGGACCTTCAAAGTGGTTGCTCTTTTTGTTGGTGGTAAAAGTCGTAAAATTTTTAGACTCTTATATACAGCAACGCTATGATGACCAAAGATGGTTGGAGTAATAAATATTGATGTGCTATTGTCAGTGTACAGCGGGGATCAAAGATTGAGAAATAGCATTTTCGCTGGTAAAAAAAAAAAGTGTGAAATGCCATTTTCGCTCTAAAGGTGATTTCCTTGGGGTGGCAATATTTGGCCAACGATAATATATATTACTATAATTTAGGTGAAAGTGTGTTTGTAGTTGTTTAACTTTATACAAAATTTAGTTTAGTTCATTGATTTGACAAAATTTATTTTTAGTCATTTAACTCCAAAACTATTTATAAAAAATAATAATATTAAGATTTTTTTTTGGTTACAAGTGATATCAAGATTTTGAATGTTAATAAAATATTTTTAAATATTAACATGTTAGGTTTAATTTTTAAAATAAATATTATAAAAAATTACAATGATTTTAAGATTAAAAGATTAAAATTTTTTTAAAAAAACTGTATAAAATTAAATCAGTCTATAATTTATTTAAGAGGGAGGGCTTAGTGGTTAGGACTGGGACTGGGGATTGGGGGTGAAAAGCTTGACCCACCCATCCGAGACTTTTGGTTTTCCAAGCTGCAAAAATATCTTGGTCGGCCGGTCAAGTTGCTGGATTGAAGATAAGGTTACAACTTACAAACAACGTCTTAAAAATTAGAAGTCGGAATATCTTCACTTCCGGTGCCTACAATGGCTACTCCTCTGTCAACAACTTTGGATATCTATTTTAGTGGGCATACTTCAGACGCCAAGCGAACAAGGTTTAGCAACACCTCTCTCCGACACAGCCATGGAAAGTTCTCTATTCACTGTACTGTTTCCAAATCCACTCCGGAAGCTCCCCCTAATTCAGACGAACCCGACGCCAAAAACCCTTCATTGTCTGAGCAACTCCGACCCCTTGCCAACACCACCTTATCTACCTCTTCCCCGCACGAATCCCATGTCTTGTCCAAGCCTAAATCCACCTGGTTCAACCCCACAAAGCCCAAGCGCTCTGTGCTTTCCCACCAGAGGCACAAGCGCTCTCCTTACAGTTATAATCCCCAGATCAGAGATCTCAGGCGTATTGCTCAGAAGCTTAACGATTGTGATGCCTCGGAATCCGATTTCTTGGCCGTTCTTGAGGAAATCCCGACCCCTGTTACCAAAGAAAATGCGCTCTTGGTTCTCAATGGTTTGAAGCCGTGGCAGAAGACCGTTTTGTTTTTCAATTGGGTCAAGAAGCAGAATTCGTTTCCCATGGAACCCATATTCTACAATGTCACGATGAAGTCTCTGAGGTTTGGGAGACAGTTTCAGTTGATTGAAGACCTTGCGCACGAGATGATTGAGAAAGACATTAAGATGGATAATATCACTTACTCCACCATCATAAGCTGTGCCAAAAAGTGTAAGCTGTTCGACAAGGCTGTGCATTGGTTCGAAAGGATGTATAAAACTGGTTTGATGCCGGACGAGGTGACTTATTCTGCTATTCTAGATGTTTATGCCAGGCTAGGAAAGGTTGAAGAGGTCCTAAGTTTGTACGAGAGAGCCAGAGGAACAGGGTGGAAGCCTGACCCTATCACTTTCTCTGTGCTCGGAAAGATGTTCGGCGAGGCTGGTGACTACGATGGTATCAGGTACGTTTTGCAGGAGATGAATTCTCTAGGCGTGCAGCCTAATTTGGTCGTGTACAATACGTTGTTGGAGGCAATGGGAAAAGCTGGAAAACCAGGCTTTGCACGCAGCCTGTTTGAAGAAATGATTGACTCGGGGATAGCGCCAAATGAAAAGACTTTAACGGCTGTCATCAAGATATATGGGAAGGCAAGGTGGGCTAAAGATGCTCTGGAATTGTGGGAACGAATGAGGCAAAATAACTGGCCTATGGATTTCATTCTGTACAATACATTGTTGAATATGTGTGCGGATGTTGGACTGGTGGAAGAAGCTGAAACGCTATTCAGTGACATGAAACAGTCCGAGCATTGCCAGCCAGATAGCTGGAGTTACACGGCAATGTTGAATATTTATGGGAGCGAAGGAAATGTGGATAAGGCAATGGAATTGTTTGAAGAGATATCTGAATTGGGTATTGATCTCAACGTGATGGGGTGCACTTGTTTGATTCAGTGCTTGGGCAAGGCTATGGAGTTTGATGATTTAGTCAAAGTTTTTGAAACCTCAGTGGAGAGAGGAATCGAGCCAGATGACAGGCTTTGCGGTTCATTACTATCTGTTGTGTCTTTGTCTCAGAATAGCGACGATGAGGAAAAGGTGCTTGCTTGTTTGCAGAAAGCTAACCCAAAACTGGTCGCCTTCATAAAGTTGATGGTTGAAGGGAAGACAAGTTTTGAGACAGTGAGAGAACAGTTCAAGAGTATAATGAGCGACTCAGCTGTGGAAGTGAGAAGACCCTTTTGTAACTGCTTGATTGATATATGTCGTAACAAAGATCTGCAAGAGAGAGCACATGAGCTTCTGTATTTGGGAACTATGTATGGATTATACCCAGGCTTGCACAGCAAGACAGCAGATGAATGGTGTTTAGATGTGAGGTCGCTGTCAGTAGGAGCAGCACAAACTGCAATGGAAGAATGGATGGGTACACTGACCAGAATGGTTCAGAGGGAGGAGGCACTGCCAGGCTTGCTCTTAGCACAAACTGGAACGGGAATTCACAAGTTTTCACAAGGATTAGGCATTTCGTTAGCCTCTCATATGAAGAAAATGGGAGCTCCTTTCAGGCAGAGTGAGGAAAAGGGGGGCTACTTTGTTGCAACAAGAGATGATTTAGTATCATGGGTGAAATCAAAGGTTCCGTCACGTGCTGTTACTAACTAGATGACGAAACAAATTGGGTTACATTCACCTTCCCAAATTGGTTCCTCATCCAAGAAATTCGGAGAAGGGTTGTAATTTTTTTCCCTCTGCGCTTATTGCATAATATACGCTTTCCTGAAAATTTAGTGTCTGGTTTTTATAGGTTGGATGGTTGTTGCTGTGAATTGATCCTCTTTTTTTTATAAATTTATAATGAAAGGAAAATGGTTCAAACCCACTAGGAAAAGGCTGCGAGGATCAGGAGCTGTAGAGTCAAGGAAACAAAGAGTGAACGCCCTCTTATTTCAATCTTGGTTATGATAAAATTTAATCACGGCTCGTCTTCAACGTCCCTTGTTTTGCCCAAACTTTTCAACGTCTTTTGAAAAAAATTGAACAAAGTTCTTTACTTTAAATTTATGTGTATAATTAAATTACATACTAGTTTACAAGTCATTTCAATATCATAATCTTTTTACTCATTTTAAATCTAAACTTGCCATTTTATTATCTATCTAAATAAGTTTTAATTTATCAAATTGACTCAATCCAAATATAAATCACATTTTACTAAATACTCCTCCAGTCCTTAATATAGAACCCAATTAGTGAGTTGGTTTTGATCCTAAATATAAGACCCATTTCTCATATTTATCAATTTTCTCTAAATTACCCCTATGGATACTCCTTCAACCATAAGTAGAAGAGAAAAATGAGATATTAAAAAAGATGATTATGGTATTTTAGAAAAAACGTGTCACATTTCTTATAATTAACTAACTTACCTAACTTCCTTAATCTAATCAAATTAGTTAAATGGGTCTTATATTAAGGACTAGAGGAGTAACTTTTATTTTAACTTACCTTTACAAAAATCTAATGAAATAAAAGCTATTTTTTTCACTGTCAATTCAAACGTACCAATCTTAGTGGAATCTCCTAAAGCTTGAAACAGAATCGCTGTAATTCTTTACACAAAAGGAAAGGAATGGCAACAGAAACAAAAAAAAAAAAGGAAGCAAGATTTGGTACTGTTATCTTCAGATTTGGCTAGGACCTATTTGATCCTACAACTCGAAATGATTTGATTCACAGATCTCAGTAATTCAGAATCATGTCGATCCGCAACGGTGGAACACCACCCTCAATTACAGAAGCTCGTTTCTGACTAGGGAATGATCAAGTTAATATAAGTACATTTGTATCCCCACCCCACCAATGTACACCCATATTCTTTTGGCTCCAACAAAGAAAGAAAAACAAAATGAATAGAAAGAGCCTCCGCTACGCAAAATTTCTATCATTTTTCATCTCTATAAACTGGGGGAAAAAAAGAGGGGGAAAGAAAACAGCGAAAGGGCAAAAGGAAAACAAGAAGCGGATCTAAAAGACTTCACTATCTTTCCCTCCTAGAGAGAATCCCTAAAATTCTACCTGCAATTTCCCGTTCTCAAAACCCCAATCCCAAATTTTGGATGAAATTCTAACGGTAGTCTATTGCCTTTAACATATGAGGTGACTACACCTTCATGCTGCAAGACCCAGGCAAAACACCTTAGGACCCATGAAAAATGGATCGGCTGTAAAAGTTTGGTGCCAGTTGGATTCACCTTCAGGTGAAGAAAATAAATGTATAATCACATGTATAGGGCCACCGGCTAGTTGAAGGTTGGCCTCACAGATACTTTCCTGATGATTTCCAGATTCGGCCTTCAAGTGATATCACCATGACAGTAACATCATCATGGTATTTCCTCCTATCTCCTTGTGGGATATCCAACAAGTCATGTAAATCCATTCCTACAACAGTTGTTTGCACACTCATCAAATGTGGGTTTTATATGACACAATGTTTTGGAGCACATCACATGTTCACACTTCATAGATGGCACAAAAAACAGAACATTAGGTTGAAGACTTGCTCTACTTCATAATGCAAGTAATTTCAACACCATAAAATGAATGCTAAAAGAAAAACAGTAGGTCAGAAGACTTGCTTACCAGCTTTCTTTGCTGCACGGAGGAGAAGCTCCTCAATCAAATGTTGAGCAGGATCTCCATCAGGAAACTTTTCCATGAAGCTCTCAACTTGAGAAACCACTTCTTGATTGCTTAGATATTGATATAACCCATCAGATGAGAGGATCAGGAACTGATCTCTTGGGCATAATCTATGATGACGTAGCGAAGGGCAGCAGGATATATATGGAGCAGTGCCAATATATTCATTACGAAACATTTCC